GCCGCACTTACGAAGGGTCAGGCCTGCGGACTGTGTTGGCCACGCATACGAGGAGTCAGGCATCCAGACTGTGTGGGCTATGCCGAGGTGGAGTTAGATCTCTGGATTGTGTAGCACCTCCACTCACACACAGTGTTTTCATTCTCAAAAGGCTCATTACATTAAATAAAGTCCTTCATCTTCACCAAGAGTTACGAGCATCTACAGGTGTGAGCCTACCCAGTATCTGGATGGGAGATTTTTATTACCTCACTAGAAAACACCTCAGCTTCGTGAGTAACTCTGGATTCTGGTAATGCAGCAGAATCAGAACCTGAGTAATCCTAGCAATCTCCACGGGTTTGTATCCTTCCAAGTTCTTGGAAAAGATTGTCCCAATTCTAGAAAAAAAAAATTATAAGAGCATGAATAAAAACCAATCTTACAATTTTCTAATTCTATGTGTCCCAAACCAACTACCCACTGTTATTTATTTGGGCAAGAGTTAAATAACTTCACTTCTAAGATTCCCTCGGTCATACTCATATGCAATAGAACAAAACTCAGCTCCAACATGTTATTATTGCACACTATTCACACCACTTTCTTGTAATTCAGCAAGACATATGAATATGAATTAACTTCTATGCAATCAGTAGAAGTTGAAGACCTAATTGCCACACAGGGTTACTAACAAAGTTGACTTGCTTGTTAATCAGCTGCAGGTTTCTGCACTCCATTTCCTCCATAGTTTCTGCAAGTGCCAGTGCCTGCTGGGAGTTCAACTCTTCAGCCAATAGCAGCGCAGAACTTTCCAACCTACAAAACAAGGAACAGTATTGTCATGCTGGCACTAACACCAGTTTCGGTTCCATACTAACACCGACTCTATGCACAATATGCCCAAACATATACGACTTGTATTCTTTTAAGAAAAAGAAGCTTGCCACATCCATCTCCTTTTGCAATTTGTTCTAACACTAAAGCAATTCAACTTTATAACTTAGGATTCAGGTCATGCAAGACCAGCACTGCTGCAGCATAATCTACACAGTAGTACATCTGTCTGTACATTTTCAAGTACCTCTCCCTGGTCTCCTGCCCAGCCATGGGTCCAAGCGCAGCAAAGAGTCTGGTAAAAGACACAGGATCGGTGCAGGAATCGAGAAGCTCGGAAAGTCTCCGTTTAGCAGCCAGTCGAAAGTCACAGTTATTGAACTGCAGAGACTGATAAAGCCCGAGGATGATGCTGATGTTTTCAGCATCCAGATCCTTCGCACTGCGCAAGAGGATTCTGTTGCACTTCTCCATCAAGGGCCTGTAGCTGTGCTTGACGTTGCGCAGGAACTGTATGACTCTTCTGGGAGTGTTGAAGTGGATGGGACCCGTGGTGTCCAGGAGGAAATCCATCTTCTGGATGAGAGCGTCCCGCAGCCTTGGAGACACAAGAGCTGAGACGCCGATCATCAGAATGGACAGAACCCTGCAAACATACAAACACCCTGGAGCTCACACACAGAAGTGGTACGTCAAAGTCTCCACCGTGGGGACTTCTATTTAGGCCAACACAGGCCAGAGATAAAACATGGCTGTATGGATATTCTAAAGCTAGAGCAGTAGCACAGACTACGTCCAGCCGGCCTATTTAGTGTAGTTTAATTAATGAAAGGAATTTTGCATGAGAAAACGTAGATTTACCGGTAAGAGTAAAATATTACTAAGGAGGCTCCCAGTCTTGATTTGATCTCTTGTACTGATTTCAGTTTTCAATAAAACTGAACTTTATTTTCTTAAATCTCTGATGTTCTACGTGACTGCAAAGTGAACAGAAAGATCTCCCTTAATTGTCACGTGTTTTTGCTTCACTTCTGGTTGGACAACCTAGTCTGAAATCTCCTGCATAAACTGCTCAATTGGTGCCTGAAGCTTCAAGTGTTTAACAAAGAAAAAAGATCATTTGAATTGCTCACACAGGTAGACCACTGGGTTGCTTTCTTTCTGTACAGCACAGTACAAACTTACACGTGCGGGCAGACTTAAGAACGTCAAAGAGTAACACTGAAAGGGAAAGATAACATGCCTTTCTCATTAACCAAACTTGTAACTGTATGATGTTCCTAGTGCACACACACCTGGCATCTTTTACTGAGTCCAATTTCTGGCTTACAATCTCAGTGATTTCTCCCATTAGAGGGCTAGAGTTCAGGTGCTGGTCATTTAAGCAATTTGCAAACTTGGACAGCGGGGCCATTGGTAACCTGTAAAGAAACAAGCAAATTTTTATTGTGAGAGATCCCATTTTAAGATTCTGTTTGGAATTTAATATATTTTGTTGTTAGATTTCAGAAAACAATACTTTCAAGAAGGAAGAAGCAAAGCACACTTGGTGTGCTGGTTCAATTGAGAACTCTAAGCAATAGTACAGTAACTTGAACTGAAGCAGAAATATTAGTGTTGCTATATTGCTTAACAGACCTCATCCATCGTCAATACTCACCTGTCTATTCTGCGCCATCCTTCTGTAACAAGTTCCTGGACCAGAGAGTCATGTGGTTCCACACTCAGCCTTCAGGTAAAGCAATTAAACAATGTGATGTAGTACTGCAGTGATGTTGTACAGATACTGAGTACTTCATGGTGACACACAAAATTGGACATAAAACAGGAAAGTCAATTACAAATTACCATGTTGTGAACAGGTGTTAATCTCAGAGCAGACAAAATGAATTACATCACATTATTCTCAGCTCATTTCCACATCCCAGTCTTTCTTAAATTGCGCTTAGGGATGATTATTACCATTAGTAATCTGGACAATAAAAAGAGATAACTTATACTATCTGCCTTGTGCTTTCTCTTTCGAGATTATTTTGTAAATGTTAATATGGAAAGAAAAAGCAGTGGTATCGATTGGAGGGAGTTAGCTGTCAATAGCAGATACCGTCATAAAGATTAAGAGCAACCCATAACCGAGATTGGCTCGGGCCAGTTTAATATACTTGCTCTTTATCTACGTGAAGCAGAGGACACAAATTAAAACTACATTGAAGTGCTTTTAACTCTGAGAACAGGAGGCTCCTCTCTACACAGAGGGCGGTGTGTGTCTGGATCATGTTGTCAAGGCCAATATTCTGGTTTATTCCAGGAAATAATTAATAATAATAATAATAATAATAATAATTATTATTATTATTATTATTATTGTTATTATAAATAATAACAGTTCCTTCTTCTTTAGAAGAGTCTTTACTTAACTGGTTCCATTCTTTACCCCTCTGCTCCTATTGTATTTAGAACCACTATTGTATTCTCACCGTGTTGACCTAGTGTATTTTTTATTGTTTATTTTTAATTGTTGTTGTTGCTGCTGTCATTCTGTAAAGCACTTTAAGAAGCCACCTTTAGGGGCCCTATAGAAAATAAAGTGTATTATTGTTGTTATTATTATTAAATAACTGATGGAGATCAATGAGCTAACAAAAACCAAATGAGCTAGATGGAGTTAATGTTCCTTACTGGGCACACAGCTGGCCGAAGCCAAAAGCAATGACAGCTACACTGACGATCTTCGTTGTCAGAAACTCGCTCAGGAAAGTAAGGCGAAGCTGCTTTGTGCTCTCCCTTGAACAGCGTTCGGTTTGTTCCCCACCCGCAGAGCCTGGCGTCTCACCTGAGCACGTTGTACAGCATGTCCACGAGCTCGCTGTCCGGCAGCTGCTCCACCTTGTTTTCCGCCAGCACGCACAGGGCGAGGAACTGCGGGTGAGTCCTGGTAAACTCCAGGGTGCGCAGCATCTGGGGCTTCTCCTTCTGGAACTGCCAGAGCCGGCTCACGGCCAGGCCCACGTGCGCCGCCGACAGCTTGGCTTTGTTCCTGCCCACGACGTCCAGCACCTGCTCCTCGCTCCCGCTGGCGAAGAGCTGCTCCAGCACCTGATCGCTGCCTGCCACCCGGGGGTGCAGGAGCCTCCAGGAGGAGCGACACACACTCCGCAGCCGCAACATGGCCCCGGCCCCTGTCCCCCCCCCCCGCTAGCGCGTGCCGAAGGAACAGACCGCCGTGCAGGTGCTCATCTCAGGCTGGTGAGCTTCACAGCCAAGTCTGTGCCCTGCTTCACGGATCCAAAGACCTCAGAAAACAGCCTAAACCATTCTGGCCCAGCAGATTCTGGAACACGAGACAAAAGGGAAACAAAAACAGTTACAATTACATACCTGTCGTGGCAAGGAAGCATTCATACAACATCCAAAGGCAAGGAAGTCTTTTCTCCGTTAGCAATAAAGAGCAAACACACTGCAAACCTTGAGAGAATAACAACTGTAGGGTATTTGCATATAGTTTATCAGATGTTGAGGTTAAAATAATCTTGAATGAAACTTAATTAGGATTTAATCACACAATTCATTGGCCCAAAGTCTAAGAAAGACCACTACAGGCCCAACTATTGACGATCTTTCAGGCAAACGTCGGATGAGATCTTTTTGGTTGAATAAGCTGCAAGCAAACGAATGAGCGAAAGACCTCCCACCTGTCTTGTTCTCACGTACTGTAAGTATTCATAGTCCTTAAAATTACTGTCAGCTCTGTTACCGCCTGTCTCAATAACGAAAGAGAGACTCAGGCACTCAAGTAAAGATCAGGAGAACATGCAGTTAATTAACAGAAAATAGGAAGCACTTTTTTAGATAAGAGAACTTTTCGGTCCAAAACAAATTACACAGCCATGCTGTCAGAGCTATAACCAGTAGGAAAGAGCAGTAAAGTATTTCGAGAATGATTACACTGTAGCAATTTAAAAAAGCAAGGAGAGTCAAACTCCTCTCAGTTGTAACCTTTCCTGTACTGTGCACCAAGGCAAGGCAGAGATCACTGTCTGCATATGATCTCTAAGAGTACTGCACACAGCTCACCAGGGGAACTGGGGGAAACTGGTCGACCTTCACCTGCAGGTGGGTTACACTATATGGGACTTAAAACAGTAAACTGGCAATTAAAGACCGTGATGAAACACAAGGTAAAACATTAAAATATCACCACCGCAAGTAAAATTAACGACCATAACAGGTCGCTTTTTAAAAAATAAAAATAAGACTTTTAATCTAATGATTTCAGTTTTGGGCTAAAGGTAAACTGTTCTCAACTTCACAAGCAGAGAGCAGTCGTGCTATTCCACGTTCTGTTACTAGTAAATAATTTTCTTGTAGCTGCTGTTCAGCTGAAAGTTTGAAAAAACGAAGCAGAAATACAGCAATCCTCGTTGATTTGTAATCTACAGGTTAGTTTATTATTTATTAATTCGGTTTATTTCAAGAGCTGGTCCAAGACACACTACCCTCTTACTGTACTGTGGGCTTATTCGCCTTGTTATGGTCAATGGACTTTTTTGTATCTCAAAAAATACTTACCGAAACATAAAAAACAGGTTAAACATCCCGACAGCGAGCAAATTATATTTACCTTTACGTAAACCAGTTTACGGGTAGATCACTTGCCTGTGTGCAGGGTTTCGCATACAGATAGCTACACTACAGCAGATGCTAACGTGCTTGAGACGCACGTGTAAAGAGTCAGGTTAACATTCTTGTGCCAGACATCTTTCACGGCACTGTGGTCAATTACAGATTTCAAAAAGATAACGTCGTGTTTAAATTACCTGGATTTTATCTGCAAATAAAATGCAATTCAACAAATTCCTATTTCTCGAATGTCACCCTTATTTAACTGCAGAAAGTACCATCTTCCTGCCACAAAATGGCCCGTCATGTAACATTGTTTCAGGGACTATCGCTATTTTAAAACATCATAAAAAAGTTGTACCCCTCAATGTAATTGATAACAAAGGTTAACAGAATTCGAGACGCAGAAAACATGTTATGAGGAATTGTGCAAAGCAAGCATTCCCCTTAGTCGTATTTTATTAATACTATATAAGGAAACAACAAACGTTGAACATTCTAGATGACCCCTTTTTCTTTACAGTAACCTTTCGAATATACACGCCTATAAAAGCATCCATTTAAAAAATATTGTGGCCATCAACCCAAATTATACGGTACCTATATTATATAAAAAGTTAGAAAAATGTTTTATTTAAAAGTGAATTGTTTTGCCTCGGGGATGTTTGGGTTTTAATATCATACAAATATTTGTCATTTTTATTTAAACTTAGATGGACAACTTTCAATTTGCACTTTTAAAGAACGTTATTGTAAAGTATTATAACGAAAAATGCCGGAATACTGTTTTTACAGGTGAGCAATGAAAAGGATAAGCTAGTAAACAGCTGACCTTTTGTGACAGTTTTCTCATTTTTTGATTCAGACTTATTCTCTACAGTTAATTTTGCACAAGTTTTAATTCCTTATTATTCTCTATTCCTCTAAACCTGTCTTAAAAAGTGTTGTAGGGCAGGTTCTTCTGTAAAATATGCGTTTTGAACTGTAAATATCTCAAGGAAGCAGGCAGGGGGTTGGTGATGTACAAAACCGCGCATCTATGACCCCGCTCAGCCGCGCTGACTGGCGGATATTTACCCGAAATGCATTGACGTTTCTCTTAGCGCCATCTTTAGAAATTAGTGAAGGAGAAAAACTGAATAAGGCTCGTCTTCCTTCTGGGTTGGGGAGCAGCCGAAGGGTGCCGGCAGTTACAGAATTTACTGAGGTAAACGCTTATTGAACCGCGTACTACCAGGAGACAGCTTTCGTGTAAAGAGTCCGAGTATGTGCGAGCAGGGGGCAGGGGGAGAATATTTTTGTTGTTGCGGTGGTGGTTCGTCCCTGCGGTGAAGTTGAATTAACTGCTGTGTGCACCCAGGCGCAGGCCTTAATCCGGGGACTCGAGTAGTCGCGGCCGCCGCAAACGCTCAATGAGCCGTGGACGGCGGGGCTGGAGAGGTCGCGCGTCCCGTCCGCCCGGAGGGGGGCGGCAGCCCCCCGTGGAAACTGACGGAGGTTTTGCCCGGCCACAGCGCGGCTCTCCGTTTTTTTTTCCGGGACGAGGCCTGCATCAGTCAGAGCCGGGGCGGGAGTAACGCCGGGCGCTGGTTTGTTTGAATGAGTGCGGGGCTGCCGGGCTCCATTTCTCCTGCCGCCTCGGGCAGCGAGCAATGAGCGGCTCCAACTTCTCCAGACGTAACACACACGCATCGCCGTTTGAAACTTTTTACTTTTAAAATAACACCTTGACCCTATCGCATTACCGGTTTCTACATAAATACATGATTGTGCGGTACGCGGGTACTGTTAAATTCGGAGGGAAATGGCTAACGTGTTTATTTTGAGATTGTCCCATATCTCATATCACGTCGTCGCCAGGTACGGAGGGTGACCCCTCTCCTTCCCGAGTTGAGGGGGTCAACATTTTCGCTCGGTAATTCATCACTTACAGTTTCTACCCTGCAGCGTGAACGTTGCAACTGAATTGCCTGCGTTTTGCATTTGTGCGCTTGCTTATTCCCAGTTTAATTGCCGTTTCTAATTAATGTAATTGTTAATTAGGTAGTAAAATGTGGTACTTTGCTTTGCATCGCTTGCAAAGTTATTATTTTTGTTCACAGATCACTTTAAAACGCAAGACACCTTGAATGATGGTCCTGCGTAAATTAAAATTGTCCCCTAGATAAACCAATGTCGAGCAAGCTCTTTTCTGTCATTTTTAGATAACCCACTGCTCGTTTTGGTTAAAGGCATTTTAGAGTCGCGTTTTCAGGCTGTTGTAACATTTCTTTCTTTGTAGAACTGTGTTTTTAAGCATTTGTTCTCACCCCTGTCCTGGTGTTGATTTTAGCTGAGCAAATTTAGTTGAGTCCTTTACAGGTAGCTGCAGCAGCATGCGTGGGCTGCAAAGGAACAAGTAAAAGTTTATTCCATGCTGAAAAAAGAAGGTAAACGCAACGTTTCGGCTGAGCACACCCGAAGAGGCTCCACAGCCGAAACGTTGTGATTCCTTTCTTCTCTTTTCAGCATGAAATAAACCTTTACTTGTTCCTAAGAAGATGCTCGATTGGCACCTTGGGAAATTAACAAGTAATAGTATAATTACTTTATTACTTTAGTAATAGGTTTATTACCAAACACAACGTTTCGGCCGTGGAGCCTTCTTCAGGTGTGAGCAGGGGGCTTCAGGTTGCTCACACCTGAAGAAGGCTCCACGGCCGAAACGTTGTGTTTTCTTTCTTCTCTTTTCAGCATGGAATAAACCTATTGTTCCTTTGCAGCCTACGCATGCTGACGCAGCCACCCACCTGAATTACTACAACCTTTGGAAATTAAGTTTGTTTTTTGTACTCGCACATCGGTGTTTTGAAGTTACTTATGAAATGTGATCTTTGAAAGACATCCTCCAACATGTTCAGGAACTGAAAAGAAATGGATTTCAAATGAATCCTCTTGTTATTCCAATTAAGGGTTCCACCTGTAAAGGAAAGCTCAGCAGGGACAGAAACCAACTCTCTTATTGATGCCCAGTACCACATTTGGAAAGCCTTGCTGTAAGGAAAGGCAGACTTTTATCAAAATGACTGGTTGTGGTTGTGGAAGAGCATTTCAGATATACCTGCATCTTATTTCTTGCCATTTTGATTTCCTAAAAACAAATTTTGCTAAAAATCTCAAAACAGTAGTGGCTTACATGTTTAAAATAATTCCCGTGTTTTGCTTTGTTTCCATTCCACATTGTTCTTTACTGTTCCTGCTCAGTTTCTTCTGCAATACTAACTTGATCTGGCAGCATACATAGCTTTTTAAAATGTGTGATAATGGCTACTGAATGGAACATATGAAATCTTCACATTCAGCTTTATAAACTTTTTCCAGAGGGTATTTTTGGAGAAATGGTTCAACATGAATGGTAAGTGCAGTATCGTGAAGAATATTTATTTGCATATGTGCTGTGCGTTCATGGGGAAACAAGACTTGCGCTTGCCAGTGAAAATTGGAGATTATTACGGTTCTTGCAGTAGGTAGTGAATGAAGAATGGTTCCACTTCTCAGTCGCCCCTCTTGTTTTATTTTGTACCGCCGATGGAGATTTATGTTAATAGGAGTAACATGGGCAGTGCATTTACCCATTGTGTGTTAAACAGGATGTGCAAAGCTTGCGCACAACTGCAAATGGACCGTCCTGGTTATATTTTAATGAAATTGTATAGATAGATACTTTATTGATCCCGTGAGGGAAATTGCACTGCAACGGCAGCTTAACACAGACAACACAGCCACAGTGTAACAAATGATACAATAATAATACAATACATACAATACAATCAGTACAGTGAGAAGTGCACTAGGAAGAGTTACTCGCAGTCCAGAACACACAGAACAAACCAGAACAGAACAGTACACCAAAAAGTCGTATTGCACAATATAAATATAAATGTATTGCACAGGTCCCTGGCATATAGTGCACAAAAACGTTTGTAAACGGGAAAAAGAACAACAGATGCATCAGTTTACTGTTCAGTCCAGAAACAGGTCACTGTCAATGTTGCCTCTGCCCAGACGCGAGGTGGATGCGTTGTACAGTCTTATGGCAGAAGGCAAGAATGACCTCCTGTAGTGCTCCCTGTCGCACCGTGGATGGATCAGCCTGTCGCTGAACGTGCCCTTCATTTCTACAAGCATGTCACAGAGGGGATGGGAGACGTTGTCCATGATGGCCTCTAGTTTGGACACCATTCTCCTCTCAGCGACTTCCTCCAGGGGGTCCAGGCCAGATCCAATGACAGAGCTTGCTCTCCTGATGAGCTTGTATAAGTGGTCTTTCAAACATCTGTTGTTTCAGGGTGAGATTCGGCGAGCGACCATGGGTGTGAAGGTACAGCGCCCACGCTGCTTCTTTGATATAGCCATCAGCAACGTGCCTGGTAAGGGAGTACAAGACTCCACAGTTTTCTTGTGTATCAAAATTACACTGTACACGTGCTCACTTTTGTATTGATTTTATTCCTGCAGTGGGAAGAGTTGTGTTTGAATTGTTTTCTGATGTGTGTCCTAAAACATGTGAAAACTTCCGCTGCCTTTGCACAGGTGCGTATGCCAATATTTCTGTACATTTCTAAAGATAATCGTGTAATAATTCTGCTTTTAGTTGGGGGAAAAAAATCGTCATTGCCTCTTTTTCGGTCCGACTATGCACTAGGTACTGGTGTGCAATATTTTAATTTACCATCTTACGAGGGCTTGTGATGTTGATTTTGTTGTCATTTGCTTCACGTCTTGCACTAAAGGTAAAAAAGCGATTTGAATGTACAGTGCAGAATTACTTTTTCTTTTGAATAAAAAGAATCATTGCAGGTGTATTACTCCTGTTGATATAAAATGATGGGAAACTGTTGTATTAGACTTAAGTTTATCATGTAAACATTACTGATAATTCTTTATATTTGAAATCTGAAGAGTTGCATGTATAAATTAACCCTTGTTTTTCACACGTCTGCGTTTTCTAGCGAATTGCTGTAACTCTTGGTTATTCTTTGTTCAGGGGAAAAGGGCATTGGAAAGGGTACGCAGAAACCATTGCATTACAAAGGATGTTTGTTTCACAGAATTGTAAAGGATTTTATGATTCAAGGAGGAGACTTCAGTGAAGGTAACGTCTAACCCCTGTATATATTTTTTTTCTATTGGCAGTATCTTATCTGCATGCTTTATTTATGTATTTGTTTATTGCTCTGTAGGAAATGGCAGAGGCGGTGAATCTGTTTATGGAGGATTTTTTGAAGGTAGGTTTCTTTAATCTTGATGTAAAGTAGAATTATTTCTTAATATTTAACACGTATACACAAATGTCATAATTTTTCAGATGTCATTTTCCATTCTTTGTATTGGTAGAATAATAAGATCATCTTTATGTATTTTTCAATTCTATACATTAACAAGCTTTACATCCTGTAGTGAGAGTTTAACTGTTCTTCTGTAACATCTGTTGAAATCTAAGAGAATCAAAACACATTTTAAAGTGCTTTTTGTACTTGCATTAATATTGATTGTTTCTCCCTAGATGAAAGTTTCTCTGTCAAACACAACAAAGAGTACCTGTTATCAATGGCTAACAGAGGCAAAGATACAAATGGCTCACAGTTCTTCATGTAAGTATGCCAGAGAGCTTGTTATTTCTTCTAACTCTGTGCATTTCAGAATGTATTGATATTTTGATTTGTTCATACATTTGAATTTAGAAGTTAGAATTCAGTTTGATATTCTGCTGAAACCACAATGTTGAATCATTTGATATTTCAAAATTGAGTGTTTAAGAGTTTGGCATAATTATTAAGTGTTCAAATCTAAATGGAGCTTTCTGTGCATTTCAAGTTGAACATTTAACGTTACATGCTAATAGAAACAAGATTTACTGATTTCATGAGCGGTGTCAATATAAATCTTTAATAACTGTTTTCTCTTTTAGACCTTCTAACTGTGTTTTTCTCTAATTCCATGTTTCAACTTCCTACTGTTATATAATGTTAAAAATAAAAAGAACAACAAAGCCTACACCTCATTTAGATGGGTAAGTTCCTAATCTCTATACATATATTTGAAACATTAGCCGCAGATCATGGAATTATTTACATATATTGAGCCAAAACATGTATGATATTGGTCCTGCGAAGCATGGGTTCCTGAATTCTGCAGGCATTAGAAAGGCAATGGTAAAAATGTGAAAAATAACTATAACTTTTTCTTTATATTAAGTGTTTTGTAATTCATTTGCTGTTCTGTAATTCAGGTTGCTTACAGTATATATATCTTTTGTATTGTACAATATAACGTGATCGGAAAAGTATTTAATTTGTATATTATTGCTTTTTCTCTTAGCGTTCATGTAGTTTTTGGCCAAGTGATCTCTGGCCAGGAGGTGATAAAGACTATTGAGAATGAGAAGACAGATGCTAGCAGCAGACCGTATGCTGAAGTAAAAGTTATCAGCTGTGGGGAGCTCATTCCAAAATCTAAAGGTAATTTTGCTCCATTATCAATGATTTCTGCATCAACGGATTTTATGTAAAAGCCTTGTATGAATTTCATAAAAGCAGTTGTGTACAAGTTAATATTGTTTCTACACATTTCAAAACTATGAAGCGGTAGCAGTTTATATAAAACTTTTCTAAAACTTTGAGAGCTAGTTGCTTTTCTGTCTGTTTGATGTCATGTTGATGTGGTGGAACCAATGTAGTGACCAGGAGAAGAGTATTTTAGGAGGGTAGTTTTTTTTTTTTTTAAACGACTTCAGAATTCCCAGCCGCCCAACGGGCTAGGGTCTGCCCTGTTGCCCTATCTTAGCTGTTGCTTGTGTGCGTTTGGAATGGAAAATCCGTTACTTATTGAGCGTTCTGCTTCACAGCCAAAAAGGAAGAACGGAAAAGGCGCAAATCGCCCTCTTCTTCAAGCGACAGCAGCAGCTCCAGTGAGTCCGACTCGTCCTCGGAGTCCTCCTCGGAGTCCCAGGGCGAGTCCGAAAAGGAATCCAAGAAGCAAAAGAAGAAGCACAAGAAGGAGTCCAAAAAACGCAAAAAGGAAAAGAAAGTCAAGAAGAAAGAGAAGAAAAGGTTTGTGCAGTTTTTGCTATGGCAGCGTACAGCTCGGCGTGCTGCATGCCTCGGCGTGACATGTGCCATGTTTCGGCAGCTCCGAGGAGGGCAGCGCGGAAGAACCAAACGAGGCCCAGCCCGTCTCCACGGTGCGCCCCGAGGAAATTCCTCCCATTCCCGAAAACAGATTTCTGATGAGGAGGAGCCCTCAGCAGCAGCAGCAGCAGCAGAAGGAGGAGAAAGGAAAAGAGAAGGAGAAGAAAAAGGATAAAGAGAGGGAGAAGTGAGTGTTTAGACGCCACGTGCTGTGGGGTGAAATCCTGTCAGAAATTCATGGCAATGAAATGTACTTAAATTTAATGTTTAGGGAGATATGTGTCGTTTATATAAACTTTTTTCTCCTTTTAACTTAGTAATTTTTAACACAACAATAATATGAGAAGCTGTGTATCTTGTTTCTGTATTGACCTTTGAAATGAACAGTTTTTCTTAATGTCAAGTGGAAGAAATGTAATTATTCTATCAGGTATGACAGTGAAACGAGTAAATTTGCACTTGATTTTCAGATAGAGTTGACAGGGTGTTGTACCTTATCTGCTTTAGTGTGTTGGATTTGTTAAAAGCGTGGAAATACTTCTTTGTTTTTCAGCATTGCTTTGAACTCCCAGCCATCACCGTATCACAGGAGACTTCTGGTGACAAGATCTGGCAGGAAGATTAAAGGACGAGGACCAAGAGTAAGTTAGATTGGAAGAAAATTTGTTCTCCCAACTTTCACTGTACATCATTGAAAGATATAGAGTGGCCATAAGGCTCCAATAAAACCATACACCTGCAAACAGCAAAATTAGAAATTTGACTGAAAGCTGCTACACTTGTGTTAAATTGATTAATTAGCTCTACACATTCTGACAAAATAGTCAGTAAAATTAAATAAGTGAATGTAATTGACATCACTGTCATTACACGTTTGTTTCTTGTTGTTTAATGTCATTTTCTGTTCATGGTTCCTGCCGCTGATTTGAAACCAGTGTCCATCCAGTATTTGAATCAGAGGGCCAGTGCAGATTAGGGCTATAGATTACTATTCAAAATATTGTAATCACAGCAGTTGAAAGTAAATGTGTAGTTTCTGACTTTTGTAAAACTAAGATCATAATTACATACCGTCAATAATGCACATTATTAAAAAATCCAGCACTGTGCTTTTTCTCAAACCAACTCTAATTCTGTTCTGGTTTGAGGGGTCCAATGGTCCTGATAGAGCTTGATGGATACCCTAGAAGAGTGGGAGCTGTGATTGATACGGAAGACATTTTAGATAGTGTTCTGACGTAACCATAGCTGAACCAGCTTGCCATGAGCGACCTGTTTATAGTCATAAAGGAACTTTTTTGTTCCCTTTTGTATATTGTGCTTTGATAACATTTATGATCAATACAGAAAGAGGGCGGTGGACAATCGTAGTACAAAGATCAGTGAAAAGCTTGACTAGTTGCCCTTGCAGATATGTAGCGTACAGAAACCCCAATAAAAAAAAGTGGTTTTGTCGGAACTGTTGGGGCCGCGAATCTGACGTTTCTGTGGGCGGCTCTTTATCTTAGCGCTACCGAACTCCATCGAGATCCAGGTCGAGGTCGCGGGACCGGTTCCGGCGCAGCGAGACGCCGCCCCACTGGAGGCAGGAAATGCAGCGAGCTCAGAGGATGAGAGCTCCCAGCGGAGAGCGCTGGATCAAGGGAGACAAGTACGAGGGCCCGAGGCACCGAGCTGTGCCCACACACGCCGTAGCAGTCTGCATCTTCATGCCCAAAAACCTTCTGGTCAAAATCATTTTCAATATTGGGTCTTTTCATATCATTTTCTAATGATAAAGAAATTTTTCCTTTGTGTTTATTTTTTAATAGTGTTCAAACATTGGTTTAAGAGGACACATTCTTAGTATTGAGCACCACTGTATGCTGTCATTTAGGCTGAAAGAACATGAAAAGAGAGCCAACCACACAAAAGTGCTGTTTTTCAAACACAAGCACAGCAATGTTAAAACTCGGTTAAAACCATCTAAACAAAATTCTTAACCAAAAGCCTTTAAAAAGGTTATAGAACCAGAGTGTCTGGCTTGTTTATGTTCATTCACTTTTCCGTATTATCTATCACACATCTAGAAAAGTTAGAAATATGAGTCGGACAGATCTGTGGATCTCATTCAGCCATTTCTTGAAAGATGGGCATCTGCTCCAAAAACTTTGCTAGTTAGCTTGTTCCTAACCCCCTCCCATTTTCACAATTATTTGCACTTTCCAGTGCTTTGCCTACTAGTAAGTGTTTCACTGTTATCTGGAGGCCGTGGAATAAGCATACTTGAATCAGGTTCCCTCATAGTCATCATTTTACTTTTTTAAATCCCTGAATTCCACTTCTGTCATTGCAGAGCCAGCTGGGATTAAGTAAGCAAAAGATTCACCCTGTAGTGAATGCAATATGTCTTCCACACTGTATAGTGCACATCAACAGCCTTCTACCTGATAGCTTTTTGCATTTCAGAAACCTTAAGGACCTTCATTAAATACTCAATATTTTTTAATATAGAATTAGGGATCTGTCAGGTGGGGTGATCAGCTTTCTGGTTTAGTACAATTTCTGATCAATAACCCAGCTGTTTATTTTCCAATTAAGCTTGCAGTCAGCAAGAACTGTACCTGTTTGTAGTTGTTAAAGATACACTGTCCGAAACAGCTATAGGTTAACTTTTCTTTTTTTTTTCTATCATAGGAGTGACTTATTGGAGAGTAAGGATGAGACGCCCAAACCTCCAACAAGAGGAAGGGAGCGAAAGTCCTCCGAGAACAAACAGGAGACTCCAGACAGTCCCAGTAAAAGCAGGGAGAAAGAGAAAAGAGGCAGGTCACGCAGGTCCAAGAGCAAGGAAAAGGAATCCAAGAAGGATGCAGACCGAGAGGACAAGCACGACAAACACAAGTCCAAGAAAAAGGCAAAATCTAAGAGTCGCAGCAAGAGCAGAGATAAGACGGCCAAGTCTAGGAGCAGAGAGAGGGAACAAAAGCGCAGTAAAGGTGATGAGAGGAGAGGCAGGTCAAGGAGCAAAGACAAAAATCACACTAAAGCGAAAGAAAAGGTATCTGATCTGGGAACAAAAGACCGAGAGAAGAGTAAAAGCAAAGAGAGGACCAAGAGCACAAGGTCTGAAAGTAAGGAAAAGGCCGAGAGTAAAAGCAAGGATCGAGAGAAGCGCGTCAAATCGAGGAGCAAAGAGAGGGACTCCAACAAGGACAGGCACAGGAGGTCGAGCAGCAGGAGCAGGGACCGAGGAAGGCGAGCTCAGTCGCGCAGCAAAGACAGGGAACGGAGCAGGAGCAGGGAGCGCCAGCGCGACCGGGACCGGGACCGGGACAGGGACAGGGATGGGAAGAGACGCGGGAGATCCAGGAGCAGGGAAAGGAAGAGGAGTCCAGACAAGAACAAAAGTAGAGACTCTCGGAGAAGCAGGAGATCCAAGAGTGCGGATCGGGAGCGGGATAGGAGCAGAAGTGAAGATAAAGACAGGAGTCAAAATAAGGAGACTTCGCACCATAAAAGGAGTCGAGGCAGTGAAGAGATTCGGCGAAAGAAGAGATCTCAAAGCAAGGAGAGCCACAGCAGTTCTGAAAGTGGAAGCGAAAGAAAAGCCAGGGATAAAGAACACAGGAGCAGGAGTCCCAGCTCGAAGAAAAAGGAGGAAAGCAGTAAAGAGAGCGAGCTGTCACACCGGAGCAAGGAGAAAGAGAAAAAACGATCCTCCAGTGAAGAAAGAAATCAAAAGTCTAAGAGTCAAGAAAAGGATAAAAACCATAGCAAGGAAAAAAAATACGGCTCAAGTCCAAGTTCAGATGAGAGTGATTAAGTAAACGTACTGTACCTTTGGGACCTTTATTCTGATGTTAAATATCTTCAATTTGGCTGAAAACACACTGGGGACATATCTTTTTAAATTTGACTTCAGTTGGCTCTTCAGACAATCTGCAGTCTGGAATATTTCTACTACTGAAGTTTTAGTAAAGTTTTAAAGTGACATGGAACCTGGTTTTGTTCTGGTGTGACTGTAGGTGGGAGTTATTTTTGTATGGCTTTCCCTGGCTACATTTTCCATATCTTTTGAAACAAGGAGGCGTCATCTTTAAACATTCAGTAATAAATTGTTACTGGAAAATAAGGAACTCCTTATTTGACCTTGCAAGAAACACGTGGTATCTACATGTAGATGCTTCTGTAAAAAAAGGCAGAGTTTAAAATGTGAGCTTCAAGCATCTTTACAGGTGTTTATCCAAAAACCAGTAAGCTCAGAATTCTGCACTGTCGGTCTCTTCACTTTCTGGGGGGACATTATTTTTTGTTTTAGAGGGACTCTGCAAGAAAGAAAAGAATGAACTTAGCGTATTCAACTGAAGTGCGTAACAGGTTAAAATATTTGGAAAATGTATTATGTTAGTTGCTTTTTTTGTGTAAAGTTTAATTAAAATAGATTGAACCCCTTGAAATACCAAAATTGGAATGAGTGATTTGTATCGCAGAGGTTTTGAGAAGAGAATTATCCATTGTAAAATGTGGTCATTTTTGGCAAAAATGTAATGTTTTGTAGATACTAACGATCGCTCTGAAACGTCTGTGTGACGTTGCATAGAGCACAGTGAGTTATAAAATGTGTATTTCTGTCCTTCTGTACCCCAGATGTTATGAAGGCAAATGCAATGTTTTAAAACTGGCAAATCATTTTCTTGATCATCATGGATTGAAAGGGCTTGCTACTATTGTATTTTTAATATGAGCTCTTTGAAAAACATTACATTTATAAGCAATGAAATTTGTATATAATTCATATATGTGAAATGATCAGAATTTGTTGAGCTTCTTTCATTTTTATTTTTGTTGGTGTTTACTTTAAAGATTCATAATTTGACAGAAGGGTATAAAAAATGCATGAATTGTCTCCGGTATTGTCCTATACTGAGCTTCTCTTCGTTCCTCATCCTTTCTGTGTATGGGATTGAAGGGTCAGCTCCGTTCTGGGTGAACACTGTACTGGCTGTGCAGTCAATATTCTAAATTACATGTACGGTTTAAATTGAATCCATAATTTTATATTCTTGTTTTATACATTTTTTAATTACCAACATTATGCAGCTATCTGTGAATTAAACTGATTTTTGTGATCTTCTGCCATTCATTAGAAAATAGTTCTGTTTTTTTTCTTCCATATGAAAATGGTCCTCTGAATAAAGACTGTTGCCCCAAACGAAGATAAACGTATGTTTTACATTTTGAATTTTAAAGTTCAGGTACTTTTACTGTTCGGGAAATAGCCTGAATTAATTTTTACTTAGCATCCGTAAAACCTGTAAAGCACCATGTGTACTGTTGTAAATGAGAATTTGTTCTCAATTGATTTACCGGGTTCAATAAAGGATTTAAAAAAAAAGGTGGAAACAAGCATATTAGGATTTACCTTGGGTTTTTGACAGGATTTGCACTCTATGTGAGAGTTGGTGAATTATTTGGATTTTAGAAAAAGTTAATAAATCATGAATGCAATAATTGTTTTATTTCATATTTAACTTGAGAAATCTGCTTAAAAGGAATTTTGCCTGTAAAATCAGAAATACTGGACTTTCACAGCAATAATAGGGAAATGTGCAAATAAAACAAGGTAAAAATTCATACAACAAGTTAGTGTAAAACTCGGGAATGCTAATAATGCTTTACAGTGTCTTTTGTATGCTTTAGCGAGTTGTATACAGTATATTTACAAGATTAAAATTTTGAATTTTAAAGTTCAGGTACTTTTACTGTTCGGGAAATAGCCTGAATTAATTTTTACTTAGCATCCGTAAAACCTGTAAAGCACCATGTGTACTGTTGTAAATGAGAATTTGGATTCTGTGTATTTATGATAGACACAAGAACAATTTTCATTGTATTGATTGCAGTAAGTCAAAAGATCTAGAAAGCATATACTTTAGTGTGTGTATATATCTCTTAAAATAGTGCTTTAGGGCTGAAAAATGTCATTTGAGATTTAACTGACATTCAGCAATAACAGACACCCATTGCCTTTATTGGGCTGTTGTACATTAAAATAATGTGCTCTTAGCGTTTTGACCAGAAAAGCTGTTTAAAAACCATTAAATATCCTATAATATGTAACTGATTACTTTGTAGTGCGTAGAATATTTAAGATGGGCCTTAATTTTTATGTAATAAAGTTCATAAGTAATTTATTTTACCAGCTCTTAAAAGGATCACTCCAAACTACATTTAATTTGGTGCGTCTACTGTATGCAACATGCAGCGTCTATTTTGTTTAATATTCAGTTCTATTCAGATGTCTGTTTTGTTCCGTTTTGCATTTTTAGTGAGTGAAAGCTGGAATTTAAGCTCATAGTACTGAACAAAGCATTACATGACTACGATTTATCTTGCCAATGGCTTTCGCACAGAAAATAATTTCGCATATTTGAATCTTGTTAAGTTTAATTATAAGTCAGTGTTAATATTTAATTTCTTCACACAAAAGTCTCTAGTTCAGAGAACATAATGTTCTCTTTATTAGACTGCAGATTCATTTCAGTAAGGAAAGCAAACTAAACCATACCATAGCTCAGGTGGGTACTGCGTCAGCATGCATAGGTCTCAAAAGAACAAGTAATAGGTTTTTTCCCATACTGAAAAGAAGAAAACGCAACGTTTCGGCCGTGGAGCCATAAGATGTTTCTTATACAGAGATTATTTGATTAAATATCCATTATAATGTAATTAATGCTTGAGATGTGGTGTAAACATAAAACTATTTCTGGTAGGTTTCAATCATACCATTGAACCTAATTTCCTGAAGCTGGTAAAGTCTTTATTTCTGATCTCTGACACTTAAGGTACATCTTAATTGTACATTATCAGACTAGGTCAAAACTTGTTACATCAAACAGGAAAAACAAGAAAAGATATGCATACATATTTTTAAAGGAAATGTAGAAATACAAATTAGATTAAAACTGGTACAAGTACCCTTAGCCAGTTGTGCTCATTTGTAATCTTTTGTCAGCTTTGGAAGATTAGGGACTTTGTTTTTTTTTTTTTAAATGACAACAAACGTGCATTTTTCCTCAGAATTTTACCATGTAAAGCCTAGTCTTTTCTTTGCTAGCTGAATGTCACCTGCATCATAAATTTCCTTGATTTCTTGAGCGGTTCTGCGATTATAATTGGGCAGCTGGACTCCAGTTTCATCCTGAACTAAATAACTGGGTCTTACACCTCCAAAAACAGGACCAAGCCCACCACCAAGGCCCGCCGTGGCTGCTTTCTGGAGTGGGTTAGTATTTCTTCCAGCTTTTGCTGCTGCATCAGTTACTTCTTTTGCATATTCTTGGAACTGCTGCTCCTCTACAGCAGTGAGAGCTGCAGTTTGTTTTTCATATTCCAGTTGTGCTTTCTGGGCAAGCTGTGCCTTTTCCCGTTTTTCAGCCTAAATAGAACAGAAAGCAGATCAGCATCCTCATCCTTTACTACCTCCGTACCGAAATGACCTGGTTGTGGTGCTATAGCTGAAGGACTTGCTGAAGCTTAAACTGCTAGATTTTTATGTTGGAGTATACATAGCTGTTCTCTACTGCACAACCTGGATTCTGTACACTGACTTGCAAAAGCTTATAAGATAAAGTACTGTAGCAAAACTGTTCAGTGTTACATTCAGACACCTTTATTTACATCTAATTTGGAAGCTAAGACCATGAGACTTGTTTCAGAAAACTAATACTAAAAGCCTTAATTAAACACCCTGGACTAAGCTTGAGTAGATAAATATCTTACCATTTGTTGAATGTAGAGGCTTTGTAGCTTTTTATTTTCGTCTTTAATCTTCTGTGTTTTTCCCCATTGCTTTTCCAAAAATATCTTATCGGCTTCTTTTTTGGCATAAAGCATCTCTAGAGCTTTCAATTTCTCTTCTTTTTTCTGGTCTTCCTTTTGTTGTCTCTGAAGGATGTGATAGTTTGCTTATTATTTTTAGGCGTACATACTCAATTTGAAGAGATGTACTGTATTAAGCTGCAATGATGCCAAACAGGCTCAAATTTCTTTGCCAGATTAAAACAGCAACTTATACACCTTGAAAAGAATCAGGTAGGCAGAAGTGGATCATAACTATTTATAAAAAATGATTATCCTTGGGTGGTTCTTTCGAAGCGGATTTATATTATGTTTTAATTATATCCCCGATTGTATGGTCTTTGTTCATAATCCACACCAGACGTAGATGGAATAGCAAAACAAAACTAGACAACTAGTTCAAGTATTGGGTTTTATACTGAAATAACTCAAGACCTGGTTGAATTAACTCCTGTTCCTTGTAGAATAGATCAATTACAGTATCCAATCAACCAGGAAGCATGTTTTGAGAAGTGGGAGGAAACCCACATGGAATGGCGAATCTAGAATCGAACCCAGAAACGTATTTTTTAGTGCGCCACTTCTTCTGACGAAACAGAAAGTAACTCTCAATTATACAGGAAAGCGCTAAATTACCACTTTCACCACTTTTGCTTCTCTGTAAGCACTAAGCAGATGTACATATACAAAGGTGTATAATGTGTATAAAGGGCTCTTTTGGGGATTCACATATGTTTTTGATACAATTATTCAAATTACAAGAATCCTAGTAGTATTCAAATGAATGTTTCCTGCTATAGTTCAGTTTCAACTTTTGTGATCTGTGACAAGTGCTTTCCAAATGCCATTTTTACCATTGCTTGTCTGTGAGCAGCAATGGATCCCAGTTCAGCCTTCTTTTTCTCTTCCTTTTCCTTCAACTCTTTCTCCAGCTTCGCCTCCCGCTCAGCCACAGCCCTGGCAATGACCTCATCCTCACTGCTCTCCTTCTGCTGGAGCTGAGCAGCCAGGAGCTCAACCATTCGTTCCTTCTGCTGCTGGGTGTCCCTGCCGTAGTGTTAAAGAACAGAATGGATCTCTGAAATGTGATCCCTGTAGGCACATCGTCGAAGAACATACTGGATAAAGATAAAGCTCGTCTTGGTGTGTCAATTCAACTTGCAAAACAGCTCACAGTCAAACACACATTTAAAAATGTAAAAACTGCAAACCCAAAAATGCAATTGGCGGTGCAATAATAACATTGCTTTCAAATACCTCCACATGAGAAAAAGTGGCTTTCATCAGCAGGACAAAAAAATATTTTTTTTATGAATGCTTACCTAAACAGTTCTGCCTCCTTCTCTTTCCTCATTTTTTGCATTTTTTGCTTTGCTGAGGAAAATAGTTTGATTCTCTCTTCCTCCTCTTCTTCTTTCTGCTTTTCAATTGCTCTTAGGATGTCTCTGTCGGATAAGTGATCCTAAAATAATAAATTGTTACACTCATTAGATCTGAATTTTTGGGAAACTAACTCTTGGAAATCACTGCATCAACAGGGTGTTCTTTCATTTACATATGCATTTACAAAATGTTTTTGCATTAGCTGGAAATGGGAGTAAATGAATGAGTACACAAGCAACGACTTTAGTAACAAGTGTCATTTCTTTATATTGATTCAGTGTCAGAAGGTTATCCAAATGGTTAAATCCTCAAGATTCAGAACTTTAAAACTTTGGGAGATACCCAAACAAATTATGATCTAAATCACACTTCAGAGGTTTGTAATAGAGTGTACAAAACTAAAACAAAAACACCATCTCAACTTAATACATTTAATTTCTAAATTAAAACACTTGATTAAAAAGTCTGCTTTTAACCTAATGTAAGACAGAAACGAACCCCTGAACTAGAAAGAATCTTGCAGTCACAATTACTGTATTTACTTTGTCTTGAGGGAAACAAGGATTGTGGGAGCATGAATCAGCACCCAGCCATGTTGTTGAAACTCTGGCTTCTTTCAAGAAAATGCTGGATGAGATCGATGAATCAATTACTATAGTACTATATATTAACTTCTAAATGGGCTACCTATTGTTTGTACCTTTTCTTATGTGCTTATGAAAGGATTTATAGCTGTAGGTCTCCTTTTCATTTCTTCTGAAAAATATCTCACTTTTAACAACACTTTGCCAAACACTCACCATATGAGCTTTCATTATTTGTCTCTTTTCTTCTTTCTTCTGTTGTTCCAGTATGCTTTTCTCCCACTCATATAGTCGCGTCATCTTTTGAATTTCTTCTCCCTCTTTTCTGTCCGTCAGCCTCTCAAGCTCTTTAGCACGTTCGTGCTCTTTTATCCTACAAGCACCAGTGACAATGTCATGAACTTATATCTTTCATCCTTTAACATCCTGCAATGCGGCTTCTTCACGACTAATAACACATAAGCTCATCGCAGCATGCTTTTAGGAAAATAAAGTGCTTTTTCAGCTTTTTCCTTGCAAAGCTTGTGACTATAAGAGATGCAGTTATTCTAAAGTCCCTATTATACCATCTTCTGCACAGCATTAGGGATGTACTGTATGTCATTCTGTGATACACTTTATGCAGATAACTACAATGCCACTGACTTAATTAAGAATACTATTCATACTAACTGCTCCATCAGCTTGTCTGTAGTTGCTTTTCTATCATGAAATCTTTGAAGTGCCTTTTGCTGATCCTGGTGAATAGCTTCTTCCTCCTGGTGCAGAATCTGAGCCATTATGTCTTTGTCCATGTCTTTAGTTGCATTCATCTTCTTCTGCTTCAGCTCGATCTGGGCTTCCCTCTCCTTCAGAATCTCAGTCAGCAAGAGAGCACTCTGAAAACAAAAATTAAAGGAAATACTTTGATATGGAAATTGAACTGTACTTTCTACTTTCCTGAAAATAGCACAGACGTGGGACACAGATTTTAAACGGTTCTTTACAGTGACCCTTACAGTGTTCTGTGAATTGAGACAGAATCACATTCCATCACAACGTTCCTCTTTAAAAGCGAAATAATTCCCATTTTATCATATTTCCAACCCACCAAAGATAACCATATCCAGTCTCCACAGATGAGAAATACGTCATGGGGATAATTAATATACTGTAATATAAGCAGCAGAAGCAATGCAATTTTATACGGTTGTGCACCTCGCACGGCTAAAGATTCCACGAAGGAATGGCAAAAGAGAAAACACACATGAAATCTTTTCACTCGGTCCGTCTGGTAATACTGTTGGGACTTTGCTTTTTCAATGGCTTCCTTTCTCCTCTCAGCTTGGTACTGAGCCTCTTCCAAATCAATCTGCCTCTTCTCCTCTTCTTCAATTTCTTCTCGCAGTTTCTTGGCTTCAATCTTCTTTTGCCTTTGACCCTGCAAATCCGACCAATAAGCATAGGTGTTACGATAAAGCCTTCTTAAGAGCAAACTTTAAACTTCATATATTCCAGCAGATTTGAGGATACATCCAATGATACTGCACATAATTTCCAATTCTATAAATATGAGGCTGATATTCCTACTCCAGCAGTTTGGGGAACATGAGGATACACATAAGAAGAGGCATATTTAGCCCTCTTGATTGTTTTGTGCTGTAATTCCTCTCACATCCATCCAATACAGGGCTCGTGGGGCAGCTGAAGCCTAACCTGGCAAGCAACAGGCACAAGACAGGACACACCCTGGATGTGCTGCCAGTCCATTGCAGGGCAAACACACACAGACAATTTTTTTCCAGGCCAATTTGTCCCAGAAGCCAATTAACTTAGCAGTATGGTATGTATTTGGACTGTGGGAGGAAACCCAAGTGAATACAAACTCCACAAAGACAGCAGCCCAGCAGGAACTGAACCCAGGGTCTCAGCACTGTAGGGCCACAATGCTAAATCACTGAGGGGTGTCACTTCTTGTAAGCAGATCACAATAAAGACACACGTCAGGTGACTCACAGCAATGGTATTAGACCAGTTTTTCACCACTTCTTTGGAGCGCTGGTGCAGAGCCTCTCGCTCCTTCTTCCTCTCCTGGATCAGTTCCAGCTCCCTGTTCACGCTGTGGAGGCTGTCTTGAATCCTGAGCCACTCCGCTTTGGGCAAAACCTTGACTTGGCGGAGATCCGGGAGACGCACGGGCAGATCTGCCCCATCTCTCGTACCCAGTGCTAGAGTCAAATGATAGGAAGGCTGTCAGATGCCAAGATTTTACTTACCTTCCTGTACAACGTTTACATGTTCACAACATGAATAGGAAATTGTATGAACTGATATTCATGCTTCTCAAGAGTCAGGAAACTTTTTTTTTTAATTCGTGTGAAAAAAATATAAGACAGACAGGCATCTTAACCTTTTCAGAAGTAGAAATACTGATCTGCAGTAGAAGCAGACTGAATTGGTTAGCTGAAAATAATCTTTTAACTCACATGTGACATTTTTGTCACTCCCTTTTCGCCTGCCGTACTGCACAACAGACGCGGAAACTGTCGCCATTCTACAACAGGTTTTGTCTCAGTTTTTTGACAACTTTAACCATTTCCCGAGAATACACCTGCATTAAAAACAAAAAACACAGACGAAAGCCAACTACTAACACCTTACACGGCGACCTAGCAACTGAAGACCTAATGCATTGATGACAATGTGTCGCTAGGCAACGAAGTCATAACCCAATCAGGATAAAGTCGCAGGAACAAAGGTGGAGCTATAAGACCTGGCTATAGTCACGTGAATTACTTCACCGGAAGTTTTCTGCATCCGGGTTTCCATAAACCTTGACCTACAATAAAGTAAACGTGACCAATCAGAGTGCAGAACATGTGAAAGAACCAGTGACGAATGCAACCGGCGAGCTCTTTGAGAGAAAGGTGTAGTGCGGAGATAAGCAGTATAGATGCTGCTTTAAACTGGTAATTATCGTTTTCTGTTTACTTCGAGAAACTCATTCTAAATTCCTTTATGTATCTCTTTATGGGGTTGTTTCCTAAAACCTAGCGATGTGATTTTCAAATGCTCGGGGTGTTGTCGGGGTGACACGATTAGAATGTCACGCGTTACACAACAATGTTATTTGTAGATGGAAAATAGCTTTCATTTGGGTGCGAATATTTTCAGATCTCTAGCACTGTGCTTAGAAACGTGTCAGATCGGCATGATCGCTAAAAGTGCTGAAGCATTAATGTTTTTTGATCTGTCGCCAGGTGAAAAGCTGTACTCATGGTGCCTTTATCTATATTTAGAACACTGTGTACAGATCAGGTGATATATAAGGCATAGATTTTCAAATCAAAGCAGGTCATGAAATTCTATAATATTGTATTTTTTAACGCACCCCCCAACCCATTTGCACCAAGACTTACGTTTGATTTCTGTTTTGGGAACAGGACTCTTCTCGCTTCTCGCTTCTCAGTCTGCAGCGGACGATGAAAGCTCTTGTAGTGTTCGACTTCGACCACACGGTGGTGGACGACAATAGTGACACTTGGGTGGTCAGGTGCGTGCCGGAGCAACGCCTGCCGGACTGGCTGGTAAAAACCTACCAAAAAGGTCGCTGGACTGAATACATGGGTCGGGTGTTGTCTTACATCGGTGACCTGGGTGTCAGCGAGGCGGAAATGAGGAGTCTGATGGAAACTATCCCTTTCACACACGGGATGATGGAAGTTCTAAGCTTCGTTGCTCAAAACAAAGACGCCATCGACTGCATCATCATTTCAGATTCCAACACCGTGTTCATCGACTGGATTTTACGGGCGTCCAACGTCCAGGGGGCGGTGGACAGGGTCTTCACCAACCCCGCCTGGTTCGACGAGCGCGGCCGCCTGGCGGTGCGGTGCTTCCACTCGCACGGCTGCGCGCACTGCCCGGTGAACCTGTGCAAAAGAAAAGCGCTGGAGGACTTTCTGGCGAGCCAGCTGCGCGAAGGTGTGCGGTACCGGCGCACGGTTTACGCTGGCGACGGCGGGAATGACCTCTGTCCCGCGAAGAGCCTGACGGAAGGGGACACCGTTATGCCACGAAAGGGCTACACGCTGGACAAACAGCTGGCCGCCAACGCGCGGACCCCGAGCGTCCTGAAAGCGCGAGTCGTGGTCTGGTCCAGCGGGCTTGACATCCTCAAGGAAATCAGTTCCTCTGTGAAATAGTCCTGCCATCACGCTGCTTCATTCTTTACCCCGGATGGTTGTGCCGTCGTTGATGCCGGTGGTGTTTTTTTGTTTTAACATTTGAACGTGTCACGGAAATGTCCCTAGTTGCGTTTCTGATCCCCCTGGCACTTGGCTATGGAGAACTTATTTGGTTACGCATGTACATGACATATTTACATTTCATCACATTTAGATCAGTATTAAATACAGCAACAATGCTGTACTGTTAATCTTGCAAACGAATTGAAAATCGTGTATTAACTCTCATACAGACTAGGGACGAAAGCCACGCTTCAAAGTGTATTTTGAAAGGCACACAAGTTGATCTTTTAATGAATTACAGTATAATTGTATGTTTTTCAAAATAAACAGTGCATTACGTCTTTCGTCATTGTTTTTTTTTTCTCCAGTTTTCTTAGAAGTATATTTAACAAGATTTTTCCCAACTGTACAGGGTTTCCTTGTGGCGCAAATAACCAAGTGGCCAATACCTGCAGAAGAATTCATAATTTAGAGACTTCAGTGTCCCAGTTAGTGATGAGATTGCACTCAAGTGTGCGAGTGGATATGAAAGTCAAGGGAAAATTCCACAAGGGTCTTTATTTTATGTGCTCTAAAATCTTAAGAAGCACCAACAAAAGATTGATAATTGGTTAAGATGTAAATTGTAAAACATATTTAAGTGGACAAATATTCAGAAAACCCTTTAAAATGCCATTCACAATACCCTGCTTTGTTTTAACACTGAAGGTACTCATAGAGGTGATTGTAGAAGGCATCTTGAAGATCACACAGTTACATATGTGGTGCAGAGGCAGAGACATTCAAGAGAGACTTAAAATATTTTCCATTCCTTGCACTCATCTTCAGCATTTCACAGGTATGACTGCTTAGTTATGAGTCCCCCCTGTTTAGTTTGGACATTAGGTTTGTTACTCCAAAATGTGCTATGCACCGCAGACAAATGTGTTCTTTCTGCTTGCCTTAAAGAAAATGAAATTACCAGTCATGTGCCATTGGAATTGAATGCACATGGAGGGCATGTGCCTTTTGTAACGTCTGACGAAGGTTTCTTTCATCCATTCTTCACTGCACTTGGCCTCGTAGTACAAAGTATCTTTTTATTTTGTACCTGGAATTGCACTTTTTTTGTGACTCCATGTTGTAGTGCTGGTATATGACTGTGTTGTGACTATATACCTGTAGTACATCAGCCAGAGTTGCACTTTAAAGTTATGTTGTTTTCCCCTATATACCTGAATTTGACAGAATTGTGGAACCAGATCTTGAACTAATGAGTTTGATGGAGTTCAAGTAGGTGGCTGCGTCAGCATGTGTAGGCTGCAAACAAGTAACAAGTAACAAGGAACAAGTAAAGGTTTTTTTTTTCCATGCTGAAAAGAGAAGAAAATAAAGACAATGTTTTTGCCACACACTTGAAGAAGGCTCCACAGCCAAAACGTATTTCTTTTCTTCTCTTTTCAGCATGGAATAGAATTTTACTTGTTCCTAATGAGTTTAATTGCTTTCCTCGTGTTGCACACCATAGATAATTTTATTTGATGTTCTATTTATGTTTCTATATGGTACTGTTGTACATTTGGTCCAGTAACCCCTGATCCCCTTTTGTGCACATATGTTGATTACCTTTGGTTGAATAAATGAAATTACTCTCACATGGGAATTCTTGTTTTCCTTCTTAGTACTCTTATGTCTCTGTGGCTATGCTAAGCTAAACCCCTGTATATATTCTAAACTCCTAATGTCATTGAGGGACAGAATCTTTATGTTCTTTAAGAAAGTTTACAAATAGAAGGAGATCATTCAGCTCATCTGGCCAAATTTGGTAGCTCATTGATCCGAGTGTCTCATACAGCTCTTTCTTGAAAGAGGCCAGGGTAAGGGCATCTATTACATGGCTGGGCAACCTACAGTAAGTCATCAACAGAAGATCTTTCAAAAGTGCTAACTGGAGCCCCAGTGCAGTCAGTCTTATAGGTCACCTGTTTTTAAAAGCTGGGATCACCAGTGAACTATCGACAAATCGAGCACGCGCTGTAATCTGAGAACTCTGGTCCTCAAGGGCTAAAGACTTTAGGCCTAAACGATCTCTTATTTTTTCACATCAGCCATTTTAAGCGCTTCGAGAAGCCACCTTTGAAGACGCTACATAAAGTGTATATTTATTTAGTTGATCAAGCTGATCCTCCTCCTCTCCACTCTTTCCCACTCCATCCACTGCCCCTTCTCGGCCTGAGAGACAGCCCTGGGGCACCTGGAGGCCTCCTCCTGATAGCACCCTTCTTTTACGACCAGACTCCATTGTGACGATGGTGAAGACTTGTGCCAGGCGAATCTTTTAGCTCTTAGACCTAAGCCCCCCTCTTCCCTGCTGTGTTTGCCCCACAATGTCCTTGTGCCTAGGGGGTGCCGTTGCCTGCACACGGTCCCATTGCCGATGTGGGTGCTGCATTCTTTATCACATCCCTCAACTCCGTCGGCATCACCCCATTTGTTCCATCAGTATTCCTCTGTGAAGCTGGGGAGTGGTAATTTAAGCACTCAGTTCCCACAGAGCCCTGTGCTGCTTTCTCATATAAAACACTAGTTAGACCTGACCTGACTTGTGATAGTGTTTAGTTGTGCAACCACATCACGGTCCCGGTCTGACCAGAATAATGCAGCAGACCAAAGCACTGGAATGTATCACAACGGCGTCGCGAATGATCAAGTCATGAAAACGACGCCAGAGACATTTAGTCAATTAATGTACGTTTTAAATTTTTTCTAAAAACAACTCATGCGTAGCGGAGTACTATGGAAATAAACGGTATAGAGTGTACATGTACAGTATAGGAGCGTCAAAATCGCTTGAAAAAAAAGATTTTTAAAACAATGCAAAAGGGGAGCAATTGAAATTACAACTTAAGTTCAAACAAAATGCTATTAATGACGAATTCCCCAAAACGTCCCCGAGTTGTTGTTTTTTTTGGGAAAACTCACATCTTTGGCTTTGCTCCAGCAGAAGCTTGAAGAGGCGGGGCTGTTCACAGTCATAAGGGGGCAGTCCGTGCTTGAAATGTAAAAAGAACTGGGACAATTCTGAAGGTCCCCCTTCTCCGCATCAAGTTACAGAAAGAGTCCATTCATTTGTGAAGCCTTGTCTCTCCAGCTCTGACGGTACTGCAAAATGGCTCTTGTGTCCATCCAACGGCTTTTAATTAGCGAGAGTGTCGATCCATGTTGCAAACAGATTTTGCAAGAAAATGGAATTGATGTGACAGCGAAACAGAATATGAGCAAGGAGGAACTGATCGCTGAAATCAAGGTAGGAGCAGAATGAAATCTCAAGGGTGCGTGGCATCCCGGCATGTAATGCAAGACCGGGAGTACATTTTGTTTTGTTTTAATGCAAATATATTTATTCACGAAGCTCAATTCATCTTAATAAATTATTGATTTATTATTGAACGTGTCTGTTTTAAGACAACGAAAAATAACCAAATCGTGTGTTTTGGGGATGTATTAATAAAAAGAATTAGAGGTAAAATTTACTTTTCTAATACCGATGACCAAGTTTTGAAAAATGACGCAACGGATTTGCTCCGGCTGTTGTCGTGAATTTGGCACTGTTGGATTCCCAATTCAAGTCCCAAAGCTCTTTTTATAAAGTTAATTCCAAGTTGCTAGGAAGCGCCGCCTTCATCATGTTTTCTGATGCAACAGCACCTGTGTGTTTCAGCTCCCTAAACTCTGGTCATGCCACATTTGTAACAGTAATGCAAAAGATTTTTAACAGTAATACAAAATATTTTATACGCTATTTTTTTTATTTTCAATGTTTGCTTTAAGGTTTTACAGTATAATAAAAAACAATTACAATCTTTCTAAACTACAGTTAGATTAGTTTTTATTTTTGTACTTCGTTAATGTTAATGTATACCAATTAATTCTGGATTGTTATAAATCATAAAATGGCTTTGCAAAGTTTTGCATTTTTAATGCAGTGCTCTGTTAATTAAGGCACTAATTAACAGTTTTTAGCTGTGATTGGAGCCACTATTGGCACCGTTGACGGTGACCGTTATGTTGCGCTCAGTGGTTTCGCGTCAGGTGATTGGTTTGGCTTGACCACTGCAAAACTGTAAGGACATGTGTTGTTGGGGTTTTTTTGCGTGTGGGGGGTCTGCATAGGTGCACTAGACAGGTGATATGGTTACAAATGTGTTCAGTTGTTGAGTTTCAGCTGTATTTTGTAAATACAGTCTTGCTTTGTCAGGTGACTGTTCTACAGAAGGATCTACAGAACCAGATAGTGACTGAAATCCCCTCATCCAGCATCGGGGACTGTTTTTTTTATACACTCCATATTAAATCTCAACTTCTACTAGGTTCTGAATTCAAAATGATCACTTATTGCATTTTATTCTAAAGCAACGCTCACGGCAATGTTTAAAAGTTGTGCTCCTGGGATTTAATTAACCCAGACTTAATTAGGGTTACTGCAGTTTAAAGAATCTTAGAATTAGTGTTCTTTTTTTCATTACCTTGAACATGTTTTCTTTCTTCAGGACTATGAAGGGCTGATAGTTCGTTCGGCGACAAAAGTGACAGCAGAAGTCATCAACGCCGCGAGCAAACTGAAGATTATCGGCAGGGCTGGGACTGGTGTCGACAACGTGGACGTAGACGCTGCTACTAAGAAGGGCATTATTGTCATGAAGTAAGAAAAACATCTGTGTTAGCGCCGACTGCTACGTTTACTGCAATTTATGTAGAATACACGTCAGCTGCATGGTGATTTGGAAATACGCGTTTCTACGTTTGCTTGAGATAATTTGCCTTTCCTTTTCATTTAGTAGCATATGAAAATATTCCCTAATTTGTTCCTGATTTTTGTGAAATTCTATGCAATTTGAGTATGAGATATTTCACAATCCTGACTTGCTGTTTCTTCAGTACCCCTAGCGGAAACACCATCAGTGCTGCAGAACTCACCTGTGGGATGGTGATGTGTCTTTCCAGGTGAGACACACATGTGCTTTACCATATTTTCGTTTTTTTTGTAGTGCACAGCTTTGCTGAAGCAAAGTTGAATGCCTTATGTGGAACACTGGAGGACATTAAATGGACTTTCAAGAGTCCTTTGAATCCAGTATCCATTGATATAAATGAACAAACTTAAAGCATTTTCTTGCAGTATAAGGTATACATATCAAAAGATAACTTAGAAATATTCCTTTTCCAGACACATCCCACAGGCAGCTATGTCCATGAAATCTGGGAACTGGGACCGTAAGAAGGTAAGCTTGGAATGACAGATTGAGATGAGATTGTTTTTCATGCAGAATGTTTTCTAATGCTTGGGCTCCCATGATACCCATTCAATCATGGGAGTTAGAACAGTTATAACAAGAGGAGGCCATTCAGCCATTCAGCCAATTTGGTAGCTGGTAGCTAACTGGTGCAAGAATCTCTTCTGGCTGTTTCTTGAAAGAAACCACATTCATTAACAACATGACTGGGCAACTTGTTCCACACTCCCACAACCCTTTGGGTAAAGCCGCGCCTCCTGTTCACAGTAAATGCAGGTAGTTTCTGCTTCTGTCCTCTGGTATGCATTTCACTGTTCACATTCAGCTGGACTGGCTTTGTCAGGGCCTCTGAGGATACTGAACACTTGTATCAGGTCTCCTTGTTGACTCCTTTGTTCAAGACTGTTCACTGTAGGACCATAAACTCCAGAATGTTTCTGGTTTGCTCTTCTTTGCACTGATTTCAGAGCAACAGTACTGCACCTTTTCTAAAATGTATTGACCAAAGTCGTACACTAACAGAGGCCTTACTAGTTTGATTACAATTTTAGACTTTTAAGAATATAGTCTTGCATTTTTTTTACCATTTTACTTGCTTTTACCACAGTGTCTAGAAGAATCACGTGAGGTGTCAGCATAACCTCCTGTTTTGTTCTCATAGGTTGCCTCTTCTAGCTCAGTATTTCCAACTGTGTATTTTTAGTTCGTGTTTAGAGTTCCTGGACCGTAGTGTCTTTGACGGGATTGTTGTGTTGTTGTGATATTTTCACAGTTTATGGGCTCCGAGCTGTATGGAAAAACCCTTGGAATTGTTGGCCTTGGAAGAATTGGAAAGGAAGTGGCCCTTCGAATGCAGTCTTTTGGCATGAAGGTCGATTTATTTTTTTAATCTGTTTTCGTGTGATATCCATTGTAGAGGCAAATGTACAGCTGCTGCTGCTTTTACAACATTGAAAGTGAAATGTAATGTGTTCTGGTACTGCGCGTAATGTTTTTTTTCCCCCCAAGTTTCGTTGTGATAGCTATCGCTTAAGAAGGGCTTGTTTTGAATTACCGCATTTTTGTGTCGGTAGACTGTTGGCTATGATCCCATCATTCCTCCAGAAGTTACTGCAACATTTGGAGTCGAGCAGATGTCCCTGGAGCAGCTGTGGCCTCTTTGTGACTATATCACAGTGCACACACCATTAATGCCTTCTACCACTGGTGAGTTTGTATGTAGATGATCCTATGTGCGCAACAGTGTCTGTCATTAAGGACAGAGAATTCTATGTTTGAAATGAATCCAACGTCTTTTGCTTTTCAATTCCTCTGAATCTTGCCTCAGTAACTGGCAAGTAAAATGATTTGTTTGAAGAGGGGCTAGAAAACGATTTAAAAACAAAATACGCTTCTCTGACAAGACGAGAACAATTAATTAGTTGGGTATATTTGTCCAAGAAGGAATAATCATTGTTGTTTTTTTCATATAATTCTGCTTTTTAAAGTATCAGGTTTTTTTCTTGCAGACATTCTCTTTCTTTTTAAAAAATGTAAATATTTAGAATTTACCCTAACTGATGAGCAGGTGATTTAAGTATGTGTGGAGATCTCTGTTTCAGTCTGCAGACATGGGATAAAAAAAAAGAGCGATGTGTGCTAAGATGAGGTGATTAACTGTTGTCTTCATTCACCCGAGGGCTCTTAAATGACACCACCTTTGCGAGGTGCAAGAAAGGTGTGAAGGTGGTTAACTGTGCCCGCGGGGGCATTATTGATGAAGGAGCCCTTTTGCGTGCCCTGGAGTCTGGCCAGTGTGGGGGTGCAGGCCTGGATGTGTTTGTGGACGTGAGTATCATACTGCAGTGCCATCAAGGGTCAAAACAGAGAAACTGGGACTGTTTCAGATAACAATAATAATAATGATTCCTTGCACTTATATAGCGCTCTTCTGGACACTCCACTCAAAGCGCTTTACTGGTAATGGGGACTCCCCTGATACCCCGTATTTTTTCACAGAGAGGCTGGATGAGATCCTTGGACCAGTTACCTGCTAACTACTTGAGTTTGTTTGGGCTAGGTGGTCCAAACAGCCTGCTCACAAACACAACATCTTATTATCTCATGAGTTTCTATATCCAGATTTATTATATTTTCATTTGAAACATTGCAGTTTGACGTGATATAAGAATGTGAATCCCTACAGAATATATTAAACATCTTAAAATATTTGATTCTATTCATACCTACAGTATTTTTATCTTTGTAATTCATTATCATTATTTGCTAAAGAAAGTATATACCACCTACTGGTTACGTAAAGTGATGAAACACATTAATTGGTCCACAAATATAAAAGTCAGAGAAATTATATATTTTTATTCTGGTTAAATATTTTGTGGATTTTCAGATTCTAATATCTTCCATTAGTGGTACAGTATTTTGCCATTTGGGAGAAGCAGTCTTTCGAGAGGAAAATCCCCCCAGTGCTTCATTCAGTTCGGGCTCACAGGGAAGCAACAGGCTCAGTGTCCATCACAGGGCACATGCAGTCGTTCTCAGAAACCCCTGTTAACCCAGGCAACATGCAGACTCCCCACAGATAGATCCCCAGATCTGTAATTGAACCCAGAGCTCTAGCGCTGCAAGGCAGCAGTGCTAACCGCTTCCCCATCGTGCTGCACTTCCAGAGGGGAATGGGAAAAATTAACTTTGCCACGTGTCTCCTTTCTCTTTTCTGGTATCCAGGAGCCTCCTAAGGACCGGTCACTGATAAACCATCCCAATGTGATCAGCTGCCCACACCTGGGCGCCAGCACCAAGGAGGCACAGGCCCGCTGTGGGCAGGACATCGCCGTCCAGATTGTCGACATGCTAGAGGGAAAGGCCTTAACTGGAGCGGTTAGTGCTCTGTTTTAGTCAACTGATCACCACAGGGCTGTCCGGTCCTGTCCGGTCCTGGAGGGCCAGTGTGTCTGCAGGTTTTCTAGCTGAGAGAAGCTGTTATGTTGGTCCTGAGAAGCCAGTGACCAGGTGGTTTAACTCTTTTAGAGCCAAGTTTCCCACAGACACCCCAGAGCTCGGGGATCAGAATTGGCCAGTCCTGGGTTAGCAGCTTCTTATTTCTCACTATAGTGAAGGAATCGCATTGTGCTCACTTATAGTAGTGTATAACAAATGGAAACCAATGATTTGCAAAATACTAAAATATCATTAATATATTAATAGGGTATATATGTTTTTATAGCATCTAAGTAGCTGTAACATTGTGGAAACATGCGCCACAGCAAACATCCATAGGTTGAATTCCCTTGAAAAAGACAAATGTGTGCCTTGATATTTATATGCAATTGTATTTCTTTAAAGGTATGAGGTAAAATCAGGGCAAGAAAAGAATTTTTGTCGCTACAGAATTGGTGTCTTGTAATGGTATACGCAAAGTAGAAAAGGAAGTTGTAACAGTGCAATAAACAATTGTATATTTTATTTTTTTGTCATTGTAGGTGAATGCACAGGTGTTGGCAAGCACTTTTTCTCCAAATTCCCAGGCGTGGATTAAACTGGGAGAAGCCCTGGGCACCATTTCAAAAGCTTGTACCATGGAAAACCAAGGGCATTGTCAAGTAAACATCACAGCCCTAGGTACAAGTAATTAGCTTTTTTTAACTGTCTTGCATTTCTGTGTTTTGTTAAGTTAAAAAGACAGTGATCGCTTTCTTCTCAACGTAAGGTATGATGTCAAAACTCCTTGTTTGTGTGAATATGTAGAACAATCATTCTAAAGGCATTATAAAACTCTTCTTAAGATGTTTATTATTGTAGATTTCTAGTTTCTGAAACATCGGGAAAGCACTCATAACACCTAGCCATGACAATTGGACACATTTCAGTGATGTTTTCATTACTTCTGGGCAGCTTCTGTGAGCTTGATAGCTGGTTAAATAGCTCCCCCTGGTGATATATACATGCTTTACTCAAATTCATCACATCACATGCATACTGTAGGTATACAGTATGTTTGTGGTAATCCTCAGAAAAGACCGCCAGACCATGTTCACATCATTCAGCTGCTTTCAGACCTGAAACCTAGTCCGGCACACATCATTATAAAACATTTTTTATTTGCTCAGAGTCATGCCTTTGAATTTTGAAATCCAAACGTACTGAACTGAATGGAAAACCCTTGCAGTGCAAAATGAGCACTCTTAGAGTCCAGACCTGAGGTGTATTTACATTGATTGAAGAATTCATAAAATTGAACACCATTTGTTTTACTTTTAAAAAAAGATGACTTGGAATGAAATATCCACGCACTCTAGAACTTTGCCAGTCTCTGTTTGTTTCCATTTTGCCTTTTATTGAGGATGGCACCGCAGTTAGTATTGCTGCCGTGCAGTGCTGGGGCCCTAGGTCCAATTCTAGACCTGGGCTGCTGTATGTGTGGAGTTTGTATGTTCTCCCCGTGTAAACATGGCTCTCCTCAAGGTGCTCAAGTTTCCTCCCACAGTCCAAAGACATACTAGGAGGTTAATTGGCTTCTGGGGAAACTGGCCCTGGTGTGAGTGTTTGTGTGTTCGTGTTTGTGTGTGCACCGCGATGGACTAGCGTCCCACCCAAAATCTATCCCTCCTTGCGTCTGTTGCTTGCTTGGATAGGCTACCCTGCAACCTTGTATTGGATAAAGTAATTGGATGGATGTTTTTTCTTCACTTCTTCTCAGAAGCTGCGCTGATCATTTGAATGACTTGTCTTACTTCAAACAGGAGGCTCTCTGAAGACCTCTGCAGGCTATCTAAGCTCCGCTGTTGCGATGGGATGGCTGAGGGATGGTTCGAATGGCCATGTTAATCTAGTCAATGCACTGACTGTAGCCAAGGAGGCTGGTATTAAGGTAGGTCTGTGTGTCTGCATTCTGTATTAAACCGTTCTGCCTGTCATTCCCAAGCCAGTCTGTATCTGTAATGCTGTCTGCTTCAGTGGTGTTTTAATGATGAAAGAATACGGTATACTGTAAGTCAAGGTTGCTTTTATAGTGCAGGCCAAGCATATATAACAATAAGGTTTTAAACCTTTACTTGTTCCTATGCCGCCTATGCATGCTGACGCAGCTCCCTGCTTGAACTATATATAACAATAGCTGAAAAGGAGAAGTATTTGTTGTTAGGGATTTTGTGCTCTTGATATTTTACTTGTAGATTAAAATATAGATATTTTAACTTAAAATACTCTATCCAGCTTTGTAGATGATGCTGTAATGTGTTCTCTGTTAACACGTTGCAGCATCACTCATTTGTGGAAGATGTTGTATGTCCCAGTGTTGAATGTAATGGATTTGAAGTCAGTTTTCCAATTCTCAATTATTTAAAAAACAGAATAAATGGAATAAAGTTTTCTGCACTGTCTTACCAATAGTCCTCAGACATGTGAGGTATAGTGTCCCCTGAGGTTTTGCTGTGACAAGGTGCTTGAGGTTTTATTCTGAAATGCAAAATGTACAGTATTCAGTTTTTTCCTCAAGTTCAGTATTTGTATTTTGTTTAGTGCCAACTTTAAAATTTGAGCCTTAGTTTTGGTAGTGCAATCAGTGTCCTGGTTTCCTCCTTTCTTGGGAAGTTCCATACTTGATTAGGACATTTCTCTCCTGCCTCACCTATCCTGCCTACAGGAATTGAAGAAAGACAAGCTATTTTGTCCATGAATGATTATTATTGGTAATGTTGTGCTGTGGTCTGCCTCCTTTTAGGTCACCAGTACTCACAGCAGTGCAGTGCCGAGTCTGAGCCGAACTGCGTGCTTAGTGGAAACATCAGTGAATGGTTCGTGCCACAGAGCAGTGGGCTCAGTTCAGGAGGATAGTCCTGTTCTCCTGGAGCTGAATGGCAGTGTATTCAGACAGCCAGTCCCTCTTGCTGGAAACCTGCTCTTTTTCAAGGCTGTGTCCAACCCTCAGCTTATGCCTTCTGTTGCTGGTAAGAGAGTGCTAGTTTCACTGGCTGTTGCATTTTCATTTTTGCACTCTGCAGGAGCAAAGGCGTGACTCTTCTGAGGACAGATAGGCCATCCTTTTCCTTTGACTGTACTATCCAGAGGGAATCTAACCAGAAAAGGCCTGGTCTTTTCTGACTCCTGAGGTCATGGCATCAGTTGGACGATGAGCTTAAATTTTTGTTTCTATGATATATACAAGCATCATAAAGCACTGACCTAAAAAAGCTATGCTAGTGGCTTCTTTTTGAGGCTTGTGGGTAAGTGCTCGATTAAGCTAACAGAATGGTGCGGTAGGGAAAAGTGTCAAAAACAATGGAAACATTATAAAGTACACTAGTTCAATCCTACTCAGAGTGTTGTGTACATGGTCATTACATGATAAGGAAGGATGCAACTGCCTTCAAAAAGGTCTGATAGTGACTAGAATAGTTCCTGGTCTGCATTGAAAGTCATACGCCATATCTTCATTCTTAGATAGAGGAGATAGAGGCCTCACACTGAGCAATGTGTCAGGACCTCAATGCCTCATGTAGAACTTCCCATCTCAGTGCCCTATAGGCGACACTTCTTGGTGTCACGGATGTCAGAAGGGATGTACCGTGGAGAGGCAGGAGAGCAGAAAAAGACCCATATGCGTAGCGGCGGAACGGGTGATTAGCCTGTACTCAGCAGTTCAGGAGTCGTATAGAAACCAATGCCCTCAGGCAGCGGACGTGGGGCGACCTGGTGCTAGGCGGGTCTAAGGACATCCGAACCTCAATGCTGAGTGAAGGTGAATGAGAGACCTGGAAATATATAGCCCCAGAGAGAGAGACACCGGGACAGCAAAGCACAGGAAACTAGGGACAGGACAGATTAAGAGCTCCCTCTGGCTGCAGAGGGCGTGACCCTTGGTTATGCATACAGCAATGGGTTTCTGGAATAAACGTCTTGGCCATTTCGATTAAGTTTATTCCCTTTAGTGAGCTGAGATCTTTCTGTCAATATGCCACTGAAAGTAAAACAAACAATGTGGATTGAAAACTTCCTCTTGTTTGTAGCTTTCTTATGCTCGAAGTTATTGTATTTTTTTTTTGCTGATGTTGCCTTTTCTTTTTTTTTTGTTATATGACGTTTTTCATGTGCTACTCAGAGTTTCCAGTTCCCTATAATGTTTTTTTTTTGAAGACCACTGATTTTTTAAAAATTTTAGAATCAAACTTTTCTTGGGAAAATTCCACTCTGAGGCAGGCGCGGCAGTGGTTAACATTGCTGCCACCCACCCCTGGGGCTCTGGGTTCGATTCCGGACCTGGAGTGCTATCAGCGTAGAGTCGGAGAAAAGGGTTAGAAAATCGATGGATGGAAGTCCGCATTGAGTTCTTCCAAGCCTTCAACATGACATTTGACAGCTATCTGCTTCCAGTGCACCCCTGGAGATGTGTTTTTGAAGTCGAAACATTTTGATCTCAGATTTCTGTGCCTGACTGTCAGCAGACTGTCCAGAAAGGCTGTGCTGTCTTCCAGGTGTGCTGGCTGCTGCCGGACTTCAGATGGAGACGTTCAGTGCCTCCTCATCCACTACGGGGGAGCAGTGGTGCTGTGTTGGAGTCTCATCACTGCTCAGCGACTTGAACGTCTTGAAGCCTCATGTGAAGGAAGTTACACAGCTATCTGTCTAAAACCTGGGGAGCAGATTACAACCAGCTATGAGCAACCAGATCCTTAAGATGTTGCATCAATCATTCCATGGGTTTTAGAAAAGTTCTGAAGTCGTGCATTCAAAGCATTGATCTGTAGTTATTACAATCACCTTGCTCAACTTCAGTAAGCTTTGGACACCTATTTATTTGTTCTTAGCAACATTTGAAACACATAAGCTAGCCTTTAAATATGAAAATGTACGCTTTTGCTTTTGTTTTTTTTAATTAAGTGTTAAACCAGTAAACAATCAGAAAGTGCCTGTTGTGTTTACAGTACATTGCAAAACATTGGGGGTATTTGTTTGGTATGTATTCAATTTGCTCAAAACAAATTTAAAAATAGTTTTCTTCTAACCTTATCGCTTAGTACTCTGCTTTTGAAATAAAGGATTTAATATTATGGGCGTATGAGTGAGGTGTTTCTTGCAGTGTTTTGTATGCAAAGCTTCCCGAACAATACAGAAAACAGGTGTATATAAGTTACGGGCTGTACCGTTACACATGTAACGAGGAACAGCAGAGTGGAGCTGGTCACAGAGTTTCTTTTTCGCTGCATTGAGAATGGATAAAATTAGGTTTTTACACCACTTGTGTAATTTGTAGACGTTTCTACTATTTTCTACTACAGCGCTAACACCTAGATAAATCTTAACACTATATTAAGAGTAAAGATGGTGTGTTTTTGATACGTCCATCTCATTTATTGCAGTTTAGATGTTTGCGCGGTTCTGCGATCATGGAGAAGAAAATCCAAGTCAATAGATCATCAGTATTCTGTGTACAACCAAAGACGTGAAAACTGGCCACGAACCAGATTTGGACAATAGACTCTCAGTTTATAGTTTCTGAAGGTTTCTTGTTTCTATGGTAAGAGGGGGTTAATCCTGAGAATTACTGCAGAATCGATGCCACTCTTACACCGTGTTAGATATTTTGTAACTAGCGCAATCGGAGCATTGTATCCAATTCTGCTAGCTATATAATGGAAACAATATTGTATACATTTAAAAACAAACCAACCAAAATAGCAGCTCCTTGGATAGTTTCAATACAACCACGAAACCACCAAAAAGTTGTCATTATAGCTCTTTTTTCTATTTTTAGTAAAATCCCAATCGTAATTTCTTTTAACAATTAAAAATCCACAATTTATACACACACCAAGTAAATTACAATAATCAACATCACACAATCTGCATATCTGTAACATTCTACGCAGAACAGCATCATTAGAGGTAGTTGGTTGGTAGTTACTAGCAGCTTTAAGTAAAAACCAGATTACGCAATGGATTAAATCCTGATCAGGATTACGCCGAAATACCATGGCAACGAAAACGAAAAGGCTTTAGCTATGGGCGAATGTGAATCGCTGATCGTGTATTTGCACTGTTCAATATTCACAAATGAATAGACTGAAATTGTGTGGGTCGCTTTCTGTACTATTATGCAATTACGCGTTTCCGTAGTTAGGTCATCGTGGTATTTTATGTATGTATGTAAAAAAACGAATCGCTGGCTTTGAGTGCATTAGAACTCAGACCAAGTGCTATAATGCACCCAGATCGGTGAGCTACGTTAATCCTTACAACGCTTTCATTTGCCCGGACGCTTTCCCTTATCATGGCTGTAGAATATGTCTCAAGGGAAAAGGCGAGAGTCACCGGCTCCTCGCCTGAAGATACTACTGGCTGATATCAGCAAGGCATGACTGCCCAGAATGCACAGTGCAGGGTGACATCTGACTGCTGTTCTAAGTATATACATATACCAAAATAGGACCGCGAACGGTGCTGACATTCTTACGACTAATTGCCCTCCATCTGGCTGGCTGGAGCTGCTAGCGGAGAATCCGTGTGTCCAAGGTTTCTGGGCACCAGTGCAGTCAGTATGTGTCGTGCTTTTTTTTTCCAGCCGTGAAATTCGCTGCTTTCTGTACAGCCTGTACACACTGTGTGTGAACCGAGCAGGTATGTAATATGCTATTGTCTACAAAACACTGAGATGTTCAGTGCTAACCTCCTCTTATTGTTTGTACCGGACTGAGGTGTCTAGTGATGACTTCTTGTTTCCTTGTGTTAAACCGACGTATGAAAGGTGCGCTATAAATACATGATTGTTATTTAAACATAACAGTTTGATAAAGTTTATACTGTCGTGTCTTAATTTTTAAACCAATAGAATATTTTGCATTTAAGATGTTAATTAATGTTGTTTGAACTGCATTTCCTTGTTTTTCAACTTCTCTCTTGATAAATAACTTCGCTTTTTGCGCTTAATTTCACTCAATTGAACGCTTATCTTTAAAAGTATTAATCTAATCTCGTTACATTTACCTGATTTGAAAATATTTGCCTAATTTTTTGTTTATTATATGTATATGTAACACTCTTGGTAACCTAATGTGTCCATAAAATTGATAGGCTGAACTGTAAAACGATAGTGAAATATTAGACTAAAAAAGTTATTTGTTTAGGTGCCGTATTGCGCTGTGGGTAACATTATAGGAGTTCTATAGGGAATCTGACATTAAATATTGAAGCCATAATGAACCGGTGTCCAACGCGTAAAAAAACAGTAAAACACTTTTTCAATATTTTTTTTTTTTGCAGCCATGTCAGTGAAAGGACAAGATTGCTATGTGTACGAATTTTATGATTTTGACCACCCGAACGAATTCTTGGAGGCTTTCAGAGAGTTTTACCTGGATGGTTTGTTCACAGACATCACGCTCCAGTGTGGATCAGGACAGATATTCCGCTGTCACAAAGCCGCGCTTGCCGCCCGCAGTTCCTATTTCAAAGTGATGTTTACAGCGGACATGAAAGAGCGATCAAATGACTTGATCAAGCTGCCGGGGATTGACTGCGAGATATTGACAGCAGTGGTGAATTACGTGTACACTTCCCAGGTAAGCATAACAGAGACAAACGTGCAGAGCCTTTTAGAAGCGGCTGACCTCCTGCAGTTTGCGTCTGTGAAGAGAGCGTGTGAGGAGTTCCTGATTCGGCTCCTGGATGTGGACAACTGCCTCGGAATGCACTCGTTCGCGGAGTTCCACGTCTGTCCCAGACTAGAGAAGGAGGCGCGGAGGGTGATGCTGTGCAGCTTCGAGGAGGTCGCCAGGCAGGAGGAGTTTTTAGAGATCGGCTTCGAGAAGCTGAGCTCCCTAATGGCCAAAGAAAACCTCAACGTCTGGAAGGAGGACGTGCTGGTGGAAGCTGTGGTGAAGTGGGTCGCTCACGACATGCCCTCCCGCATTGATCATGTGCAGGATTTGCTCCATTGCATCCCTCTTGAGGTGGATGAGATATACTTCAGGACAGCCCTTGGCCTTCAGAAACCCTGTTTGCTTGGGAATGAGAAGAAGGTCCATTCCTTAATCGTCCGCGCCTTGAAATCCAGTCGCAACCAGATCTCCGGTAGTAGTAAGAAGTTAACATCCAATATGTATGTTATCGGCGGGTACTACTGGCACCCTCTGTCCGAGGTACACGTGTGGGACCCGGTCACTAACATGTGGACCCATGGGAAGGACATGCCTGACCACACCAGGGAGAGCTACAGTGTCACTCTCCTGGGGCCCAACATTTACGTCACAGGAGGGTACAGGACAGACACAATTGAGGCTCTGGATACTGTGTGGATTTACAACAGTGACAGTGATGAATGGGCCGAGGGGTGCCCTATGCTTAACGCCCGGTATTACCATTGCTCGGTCACCTTGCATGGCTGTGTGTATGTCATAGGAGGCTACAGAGGAGGAGCCCCTGCCTGCGAAACCGAGTTCTATGACCCTCTAAAGAGGAAATGGATTCCTGTGGCGAATATGGTCCAAGGTATGAAGAGCTTAATTTGACCACTTGGCTCTGGTTTTACACAGCCTGGTTAGCACTAATCTTTGACTACCTGTCTATAATTTAGGCAAGCTAGTGGAAGACCAGGAATAACAAGGTTTCTGTGAAACATACAGTAACCTGAGACCATCTCTCGAGAGATGCAGGGTAATGATTACAACTGTTCAAACCTTTGAAGGATCTGTATTATAAAATGACTTGGAATACACATTTTTGTAATGACTAAAATGAAGACAGTAGTCTCCCCCCCTATTAATTTGTCTCTTACAACACCTGATCCAAAGCAAAGAAAGAATTTGCACCCATGCATAATGCATTTTCAGCAATATAAAGCATATGTCTTTTACGGAAATGCAAGCTTTCAATTACATTAGTTGGCCTGGTTCTTCATGTGGTATTTTAAACAAGCATTTAATTTCACAAAGCGCAGTATGAAGTATTGGACATTGAACAGACCTTGATCAATCAAACCAGCTATGACTTGCAGGAATTCTATACAAGTCTGGCACTGTCTGTGTGGGGCAGACTGGCTTTCTGCACATCAGCATAGGTAAAAGTCACTGATTAAGAGATCTTTTAGGAAATTAATGGATGGATACAGTACATTATATACTGTCTATTACATTAATAATTTCTTCCATGTGTATGAGTAATTTGCCATTTGGAAGCCACGTGCCTAATTTCTTATTTTATTTCAAACACAGGTGTAGGAAATGCTACAGCTTGTGTCCTGCATGACACAATTTATGTCACTGGTGGCCACTATGGATATAGGGGAAGTGTTACCTATGAAAAGATTCAGATCTACAGGGCTGACCTCAATGAGTGGAGCATCGCTACTATAAGTCCTCACCCAGGTAATGATTTTCTGCAACGATTTTCCTTTCCAGTGTACTTTGTAACTTTTGTTTCCATGCTTGGTCATTTGCTTGTTGAGTGTCACTTAGAAAATAAACAAATTATGTATTACAGTGAGATACAAAATACAATATGCTGCCATTTTTCACAGTCTGTTGTCAAATGTGAACTCAGCCCAACCTTCCCATGAAATCTTGCACTGGTGAGCTCGTTCTCAGGTTGCTATGGTTTTACAACAGGCAGTCTGGCAACCGCCTGTAAGACAAACAGTTCTCCAGCTGACAGCCAACGTCTGAGTGACACATGAAACACATTCAGGCTATTTGACCAATAACATTTTACAGTAATAATTGCTTACACTTATATAGCGCTTTACTGGACACTCCACTCAAAGCTCTTTACAGATAATGGGGACTCCCCTCCACCACCACCAGTGTGCAGCCCCCACCATGATGATGCGACGGCAGCCATAGTGCGCCAGAATGCTCACCACACACCAGCTCTCAGTGGGGAGGAAAACAGAGTGATGAAGCCAATTCATAGATGGGGATTATTAGAAGGCCAGGGGGAAATTTAGTCAGGAGACAGGGATTACACCACTACTCTTTTAGACAAACACCCTGAGATTTTTAATGACCATGGAGAGTGAGGACCTTGGTTTTATGACTCATCTGAAGGATGGCGCCTTTTTAGTTTTGTGTCCTCATCTTTATACTGGGGCATTAGGACCACACAGACCACAGGGTGAGCGCTCCCTACTTTTCCCACTAACGCCTCTTCCAGCAGCAACCTTAGTTTTACCTGCTGAGCTTCAGTGGGTTGCCAGTCATATTGGTTGTTCCACTTGAGAAATCCCTAACCTCTAAAAACACCAAGTCTCATTCACACATATTGGGATTTATTTAGTATAGCACACTAAAATAACTGCATGAAATAGTTTATGGTACGGAGATGTGTATGTAAATGCTTGATTCAGTTATTAATTTGAAGATGTTGTGGATCACATGGGCTCACGAGGCCTGTGACCTTTCAGACAAGGTCTGATATTAACCTGAAGGCACACTCATTTCCATGTAGTCTGCTCTACAGAAAGCACTGGACTAACAAGAGAAGGATTGAGAAGCACAGCAGACACTCCAAGGTGTATTCTAGTGTGGAGGTGGGGGCTGTAAATCAAGGCTTTTGGGATTATTCAATTCAATTCAAATTATTTTTATATAGTGCCTTTCACAACAAGGTTGCCCCCAAGGTGCTTGACAAAGCAAGTGACCATACGTGTTGTGAATACAGAACAGAAAAGACCAGAAGACAATGGAGGAGAGGAACCAAAAACATCTTAGTAAGGAGAAAAAAACCCTCTAGGGGTCCAAGGTCAACTGGCTGCCCAACCCCTTTGGGCATGCTAACATTATACAATTTTAAAAAAAGGAAAAAATTGGAAAAAAAGGAAAAAATTACACAAAACAATGAAGGGTCTTCTTTCAAAGCACGCTCATACTGTTCAGTCATTTTCAAGGTATTCCATGCAGAAGGGCTGTGAAAACATTGACACAGTAATAAAACTAAACTCCTGTCATGATATTCACTAAAAGTGTCATTCTGCATGTAATTACCGTTCAACCCCTGATCACCTACTCAAAAACACAACCACATCCGGAGTACCAGAAGCATTCTTAACAGTTACATGAAGGTTGTCTAGTTATACGCTGTTTCTAGTTTGTAAAAATCAGAAAAGTCCCTTACTTTCATTTTCGTTACCTCCCTAGAGTACGGCCTGTGTTCTGTGGCTCTGAGCGACAAGCTGTACCTGGTTGGTGGACAGACCACCATCACCGACTGCTATGACCCGGAAAAGGACCAATGGAGGCAGATGTCTGCGATGAAGGAGAGAAGAATGGAGTGTGGGGCTGTCGTCATGCACGGCTGTATTTACGTCACAGGAGGATACTCCTACTCCAAAGGAACTTACCTTCAGAGCATAGAGAAGTACGACCCCGAGCAGGACAAGTGGGAAATAGCTGGCAGCCTCCCCAGTGCTATGCGATCGCATGGCTGTGTCTGTGTTTACAGTGTGTAGATCTGCCTTCATTGCATCTGGACTGCAGTGGCTCGTCCATTTGAGAAAGGGCAAAGGTGAAGTACCAGCTGTCACGCCCTCTGCAGCCAGAGGGCGCTCCTTCTCTGGCCTGTCTCTTGTTTCCGGTGCTTTGCTGTCCTTCCGGTGTTTCTCGCTCTCTGGGGCTATATATTTCTGGGTCTTTCATTTTACTTTGCTCAGCACTGAGGTTCAGATGCCCTGAAACCCACTTAGCACCAGGTCACTCCTGTCCTTGGCCTGAGGGCATAGGTTTCTATACGGCAATTCCTGAACAGCTGAGCCAGGGCTAACCCCCGTCTCGGTACAGTTTGTCCTTTCCAACATACATGACACCAGCAGCATCCATCACTCCATGCGCTGATGTACGATATCTGAGGCAGCACATGCATTTGTGAGTCAGCAGGAGAAATCTGAAAAGCTATTCTCTCTAAGGAGTGCCCAGCCTTTTGTAAGATAGAACAGCAGCCCTTCGATTTAAAAAGCAGACAATCAATATGATGGATTTTGTTGTTTTTTTTAGCGAAGCAAAAAAGGTGTACCCTTGAGCAGTGATCTGATCCACTTCAGGTTTCACAGACTGCTGTGCGTATTGTACTGTACAGAGATGTCTGCAAGTGGCAAAACATGACATGGATCAAAGTGCTACACACTAGGAGTCAGAATTTTTAAATGTTTCCAAGGAAGTTATTTTAGGAAATAAGATTTTAAGAGCTCAAAAAGGAAAATTACATTAGGGATGAAAAATGTATGCAAATGTTTCCTCAGATTGCCTAAAAGAAATAAGACAAGTAAGAGGTCTTAAAAAATGTGCAGCATAGCCAACACAAGACATTTTAATGAAAAAAAGGTCATGTTTATTATGCTAATGTGGTGGGTTAAAAGAGCTTTTTTCCTAACAGAGACCATAATATTTCTCATTTAAAATTTTACATTAGACTATTTTATGATGCAATAAAGTATTATAGGGTTATAACAATGAGTATTTCCAATAGAATGATACTGTTTAAAATGAACAGATCATAAGATACAGTAGATAAGAACATAATAATGGTTACAAATGAGAAGAGGCCAGTCAAGCTCGTTTAGTTGCTGTTAGGTCTGAGGATCTTATATAGCTATTAAAAACACCTATCACTGACACCAGAGAGAGTTTAGGAATCTATATTTACCCTATGAACACCTGAAAAGTATAGTTAGTGCAATCCTTAGTGTATATAGTATACTGTATATACAGATGAGATAAATGTGTTGATCAGACGTCTGAGTATTATTTTACTGTAACTGGTGTTCAAGGACATTTGGGCTAATATTATGAAGTACCTTTATCCATTGCTCTGGAAATACAGAATTACGTTCTGTTATTTATGAACTCTTTGGATCACAGTAACTGCCATTTTATGTTCTCTGAAGAAAAATGTTTCACTTCCCCTTCTGTATCGTGAACAGAATTATTACCTTTTGGTTCATTTTGGCTTGAGTTCACCTTTGCCTCTAGGTATTAAAAAAAAGGCTCATTATTGACAGCAGAAAGAGCTCAGCAATCTGTGAATAGCACGTGGACATAATACCTAGAAAAAGCACAAAAGCAAGTAAAAGCCTAGAGGAATTTTTCTAATGTATGAGTCTAGTTTTTTAGACATATAACCAGCTGCAGTATTCCAATGATCTAGTACAGCAAACGTTTTTTAAACTTTAATTAAATTGTTGCTACAGTGTTTTGTACTACTGTATATATCTTTGATTTTAGAAAAAGGAATTATAGAAAATAAAGGATTCTTATTTCAACACCGTTGAATTTCCTCAAAGGATAATTTTTTGGGGAAATCTGTTCATTTTGTTTACTAATGTATTTGCATTATTTATGAAGAATATGATGTTTTAAAAGCATTGTGTGTATTGGTGAATGTTTTTTTAGTTCTTTTAAATAAATTATGTTTTGTTTCAGACACGATTTTTCAAGAAGCACAAAAATATGGTAGAGCAAGAGTATTAGAAGGTCAGGAAAACCGCACTGCATACAACCCATTCTGTGTCTTGTCTACACGTCCATAACCACTTTGACTAATGTTTGGGTACGTTTTAGAGCAGTTTGCAAGAACGCTTGATTTGCACATGAAATGTTTATGTTTTCTTATTACCTTTTAGAGATACGTTTACCATTTTGATATTTACTTTGTCATTTTTTTTTTACTAAACCGAATTTGTTGGAATTTTTTTTTTGCGGTGAATGATTTCATTTCAGCTAACATACAACACTGCCACCTTCTAGCCTCCTCCCAGCAACTAAGCAAGACCGAGACTGGATGTTGGAATTCATTGGAGAAATGCGGCCCCCACCTATATATAAAGCTCTTTGGTATCTTTTCAGATAGAAATCATTATGTAAATGCAAGCAACTTCTATTGAACACCGAAAATGTGTACTGTAAATTCCTCAGCAGAAATCTACTGAATTGTCTATGTGTTTGAATGCTTTTGTAATATTTGTTTTTTGGTATTTTGAAATTCATGAATTTTGGTTAACACACAGCATTTTGTAATACGGAATAAACTGTTATTATTAACAATTACTAGCCATGTTATCATTTACGTGGCTGTGTATAAACTGTGATTATATCGTTTACAGTCTGCTGTTAACAGACAATCCATTTAACCACATTCCAGATTTATCATAATATTATTATTCCTGAAAACAGCAAGCACGGGCTATAGCGATTTCACGATCTGTTCTAATATATTTTTACAAAGCTTTACACGTTCTGTGTAATAGAGAATGGTTTGTTCGGATAGGTCAATCGTCTTCGTAGGACCAAAAACACCACCCTTTTCGGTTGCTGCACACGCGATCTAACAGAAGCAATTTCGACGTTCGTAGGACGTGAGAGCGTTTGGGCCATCCCACGCCCCGTAGAAACGCAGTGGTTTCTGGGATAAGAGTGCGTGCTATAAGAGCTTATTACAAGAGCAGGTAGCTACGGGCCGTCGGTTATTTGGGGGAAAGAGGGATAAGGTTAGTTTTGTGTGTGGCTTATTTTTTTCCTTCATGTACATGTTGGTTTGTGTTCTTCAGAACTATGAATGCTTCTGTGTTGCGGGGTGCAGCGTGTTCTTTTCTAATCGAACTTCCCACGTAAAGTTCGTATGAGGCTTCTGAGAAAATACCGGTACGAAACTGCTTTAAATGTCATTTTGTCCATCTCGGAATACTTATGGATTGGACGCGTTAAGTCCAAGTACGGCACAAACCTAAACGGTAAATTTTAAATTTGCATGAAATCGCTTAATTTTGGTTGGGTGGTGAAACATGCTGGTTTCAATGCAGATTTTTTTTTGTGACGAAACAAAAAAACGTGGAGACCTCATGTTCCGGCAGGGGGAGATGGGCGGTGTGGAAGCCTCGATTTTCTGTTAACTGCTTTCTCAACTCTCTGAAGAACGCTTTTGGATGTATTAAATCGGGTCGTTAGGCTGAAATGGAGGAAATGTATCGCCACTTTGCTTTGCAATTGTGTTAAATAAAGTTTTAACATAGCCCAGAATTGTTTTATCAATTTCTAAAAGGAAAATTGCTCTTGGATTGGGTTTTCCCCCCACTTGGTTTGTTTGTTTCGCGTGTTTACGATTTGTGATGTAATTGTATGTACAATACTACATTTAGAGAATGCTCGCTTCATGAATTCAGTGAGACCCTCCATTATGCTCCGGGATATTTTTGTCTGGAGTAGATTCCTGTAGCCTCAAGAAAATCTGCATCTTTCCATTTCTGACCGCTTTATCACATACAGTACAAGGGAGCCGGAGCCGGCGAGAAACGGGCGCAAGACTGCGTTCGCAAACATCTGGGCAAACATCTGAAATTACCAGTTAGGTGAAAAATGCATGCATGCATCAGGGTGTTAATGTTTTAAGAAATTGTGCCTTTCAGATTAAACATGGCAGATACCAACCAAGAAATGACGACCCTTGAGAAGAGAGTTGCCGAACAGATTGAGGTAAATTTAAGGATTTCTTTTAATGATCTTTTAGGAGAGTTGCAACAATATATTGCCCCTCAATGTAATGTTAATCACAATGATACTGTGCAGCTTTACCAAAGGAGTGGGATTTCTTTGCCTTAACAGTACTATTTCGGTGACCATAATCTTCCAAGAGACAAGTTCCTCAAAGAGCAGATACAGCTAGATGATGGATGGGTGCCGCTTGAAACCATGATCAAATTTAACAGGTATGTAGTGTTTGACAGCAGTGCTAACACGCAAACCCAGTTCTATCTGGTGCTTGTCTTTGTAAAATGTACTACAGTGTACGTGCTGCTTTTAAAAAAAAAAAAGTCGGTCTATTCAGGGGCAGTATCTGTTTATGTTGCTGTAAACGCACTGATATGCTTTATTAACCCACTACACCACAAGATGCAGTCTAGTGTTAGTATTGGACCTGATATTTACTTGCTTGAGTATAAGGCAGCGTCAATTGCGCCACCTGCTGGCAGAAAAACTAAAACGGCGATTATTGAAACCGACCGTCATTATTTTGAAGTCTATTAAATGGAGTATACATAGAATATTTAATACTACTCAAGTGGCCACGTATATTTGACAGTATTGTACCTGGTTAATAAAATAAATAATTGTTATGGGTGTTAAAGTCATGTGCATGAAATCGAAGTAAACAATTATAAATGGTTATTGACCCATATGAGGGCTGATCTGGGTTCTATAGCAATGTGTTTAACCTTATATATTCTTAAATGGAATCCCTTTAGGGGTTACGTTTAAGAGCAAGAAGGAGTTGCTGTGACTCATGGGGATGTATTAATATTTGCTATATAACCCTGTTCTACTGGCTGAGTATATAGCATTGCTGGTTCTTTTTAGGGTGAAACAACTGTCTATTTGAACTAAAATAGGTGAAGTAGAATTAGGTCTTTAGTGTTGCTACTGCAGCAGCTAATGTTTATATATTTCATAATTCAAAGTGAATTTTACTTGCTCTTAAACATCACAACGTTGAAAGGTGTTCCTTAAATATTCTGATATTGTCTGTCTGGAATGAATCCTGATTGGATTGTTTCTTGCTGTAGGCTGAGCCGTTTAACCAAAGACTTCAATGTGATTACTGATTCACTGAGAAAATCCAAAACTGGGCTTATAGAAATCAGTGAAGATAAGTCAAAGATAAGAAGATCCCCAGATAAGCCTCTGCCCGAAGCTAACGACGAGTACAAAGATGCAGTTAAACACAGATCAGTCTACATTGTAAGTAAGGCCTTCATTGGATTCTTATACTTCAAGTAGAATTTCTTTTATCATTTGCACTGACTTTATTTCCTTCTTTTTCCCCAGAAAGGTTTTCCCACAGACTCAAGTCTTGATGATGTGAAGGAATGGCTAGAAGGCAAAGGAAATATTGAAAATATTCAAATGAGGAAGAATGCACAAAAGCAGTTCAAGGTTGGATATCTGACTTTTTTAAAATTATTTCATATTCTATGTCTTTCTTGTCTTTAACCTTTTTTCTTTGTGCCTTTTTATAGGGATCAGTATTCATCGTTTTTGACACGGATGAATCTGCTAAGAAGTTTGTTGAGATGCCAGATTTGAAATACAAAGACAATGAAATGATTGTGCTTTTAAAGTAGGTATATTTTGCTGATCTGTGGTGAAATTGTATTAATTAGTGCATTTTAAGTGCACAATTGTCCATTTTCATAGTTTTTACATACATATATGGGCTCTGAGTACAGCAACATCTTTTCTAGCATGCAGTTTTGGCTTGGTATATTCGTGTTAATCATTCTCTTTATTTCCTCCAACCTTTCAAAGATCTGCTGGCTGACTTAATTGGTAACTTAAATTGTGTGTGTGCCCTGCATGTCCGTCTAGAATGTGTTCTTGAGTAAAGTTATTTTTGTAGCTTTCTGACCATGCATGTCAGTAGGGCGAAAGGGCTTCCTTCTCTGTAACCTAGCTAATTTGATTCATGGTGGCTTAATAACATCCTTAGATTAGCTATTTATTGAAAGATCTGGTGGATCTTTTCAGCAGTAGTTTGAGGGTGGAAGTTTACCATCTCAACAAGTATGTCAAGAACAGCTGAAATGTTAAACAATAGTACTTTCTAAGAACATATTTATTTTAGGGAGGATTACTTTACAAAGAAAAATGAAGAAAGAAAGCAGCTGAGAGCTGAAGCCAAGGCAAAAGCAAAACAGTAAGTAGGCTTGCCTTTTATTTTTTACATCTTGGAAGTGTCCACATACACCTGTTATCTAGGAATAGTATAGTTACATTTATTCTAGTTCTAAAGCTAAGATTTGACCCATTCATGCTTGCTTTCTGTGATATTTGAATAGTCCCTTTTGCATCATGTAATAGAAGTTCGGCAAATGGGGCTGAAGAAGTTTTCTAAAACCCTGCAAATTCTCTATTTCAGAGAAAAAGAAGAAATGCAAAAGCAAGCAGAGGATGAGGAAATGGTAGGGTATTTTTTTTAATTGTCTGTTTTGAGTTGAATGTTTTTTTTTTTTACCTTGGGTTTATACCCCTTTGGTGGTCAACTCTTAATTCCCATTGTAGAAATCATTGGATGAACACACTGGATGTCTGTTGAAGTTTTCTGGTGATCTTGATCAGACCTCAAGGGAAGACTTCCATGAATTATTTGCTGGCCATGGTCAAATCAAATGGATCGATTTCATTAGAGGTGCTAAGGAGGTAAGTTCTTGCTATAGACTAGCGACGGTCTTCTGAGCACTTCGTAATTGGTAAGGCAGCATGTAAAGCAGTTTTGCATTGATGGTACAACTTGTTGACCTGATATCTTGGCAATAATTTGCAACATTGTTTAAGTTTGCTTTGTGCACAAGTGAAGATAATGCAGTGAGTCATTGAATTGTAGAATTGATCTGTAAATATGATTTTCTCGGTAAATGTTTAACTAGATAAGTGCAAATGGCTTGTCCTCATTTAGCTTGGAGTCCTACAGCACCCACGAGTATGTGGCATGCTGAAACTTGGAATTTTGTGCAGCTGACTACCTTCACAGTTCAAGTGTCATTTAGATTCCTTCCCCCTACAGGGTACAATCCTCTTCAAATCAAATGCAAAGGAAGCTCTTGAGAAGGCTAAAGAAGCTAATGGTGGCAACTTGCAAATAAACAAAAAGGATGTAACATGGGAGGTGCTGGAAGGAGATGTGGAGAAGGAGATGCTGAAGAAGATAATTGAAGATCAGCAAGGATCCCTGAATAAACGTCGAGGTCGAGGTATCTGCCACAGTTTTAATTGTCAGGGTTTATTTGGAAATGGAATGTGCTGTATTTGTGTTTAAGATCTCCATAGGTGATAAGAGGATATTTACTGGCTTAGTTTTGCATGTTCATGTGTCCCTGTAGTTTCAAAGATACTTTGGGGTGAGATATGTCTGACTTCTGAAGCAGTCAAGTTGATCGAGAACAGCCAGGATTAAATGGAGATCTAGTCCTGAGGCTTGTGTAAGGACGTCTAGCATTGGCACTGGGAGTTGCAGTGTGGGGTGGGGGGGGATGTTGTAAAGCTGATTAGCATCTAGTATGCAAACAAAAAGAAATAGTAGGTATTGCCCAATTAAACTATTTTCATATTAATTAGCTTTTCCTTTCAAACGAAATCCGATCATTGACATCAAATGGTTGTTTTTCAGGGGGTCGGAAAACAGGAGGAAGAGGACGGGGTGGACGAAAAGACAGAGGTGGAAGAGACCAGGCCAAAGTGGAGTTTCAAGGCAAGAAGACTAAATTTGAGAGTGATGATGAACCCGAGGAGCATGAAGGTAAGCTAGCTTGTAACAACTGAAGGCATGTTACAGATCATCAGGGTTGTAACTTGTAGCAGTGGTTATAATCTTGATTGTTGTATGGCACCTTCTATAGTACATTTCAATACAAGTTGTGCAGTAAAGATTTTAAAGCTAGAGTTTAGAAATGAGTTTTAAGATGGAACTTGAAAGGGTAAAGTGATTTGCCAAATCCATTATGGGCTGTGAACTAATTCCACTCTTGGAGCAACACCAGGAGGCAATGCTCTGTTTTATTCTAGCTTGATTTTTGGGAGAGAAGGCTTGAAGACTTAAGTGTTGTGCATGTGAACAGGACCTTAACATTTGTCTACAATGTAGTCGAGAGCCACAACATTCAGTCCTTTTAAAGACAAGAAGCAGTATTTTGATTTTGTTTGGAATTCACATGGGCCATTACATATCATTGCGCTAGAAGTAAGTTTTGGCTTCAGCCATGGGTTATCCAATGGCCAACCCAATGAAATATGGTTTAAGCACATCTAGAACTGAAAGTTTCCACCTACATCCACAATTGTTGCAGTAATAAAGTGCCGTCCAGTTTTTTTATATGACAAAGTATTGATCTGAAAGATGTTCATAAAATCTGCAGCTACACAGTGTCTTGATTATGCAGTTCTGTAAATTGTATAGACTGGGTAGAAATGGCTCTTTTTAAAAAAATAATTGACATTCAGTGATTTACATAATTGCACTTGCAGTTACTTTTCATGCATATAGACGTGGTATTTATAGTCCTAATTATCTCGAATGAAATTGGAGCAGAAAAACTACATGGAACAAAACCTGATATTCTGAGGACTGTCTATAAATTTAGCATTCAATTAGCTTTGTTTTATTAAGTGGTTAAGTAATAGCTTACTTTATTAAAGGAATACTTCTACAGAAAAATCACTTTACAGGTGATTGTGCTTTAGTTTTAAAATTGTTCAATTAGCTGTAGTTGGAATACCTGACCTCTTACATGGCTTCACGCTAGCCAATCTGGTCTTTCTTTAAATGGGCTAGCAGTTCAATTTTATGTACTACATTGGATGACTGCAGTCAAATGAAAATATGCTAGGAAATTTTACACAACCTAGTCAACCATTCACATTGATCTCTTCCCCCCCCCCCTTCTAGCACCTGCAAGTCCAAAGAAGAGAGCTCTGGAGGAAGTAAATGCTGGAGATGTGGAGGAGCCAGTAGCAAAACAGATGAAAACTGAAAATGGCTCTGAGAAATAGTGATTTTTTTTATTTTTTTAAATCCACTCCTATTCAGTCTTCATTTCATGGAGAAGCGTATGAAGTCTACTTCTATGTCGACCTGCAACAGGAATATAAAGCATGGTTAAGACTTAAATACAGCTTTATTTCTCCCTGGTTCTGGGCAATGATGCTGGCAGATGTGTGTGCATGTTAAATGCAGGAACCACAATGATTTGGCTGCAGTTTTTTTTTTTTACTGTTCCCCCAGTTTATGTTCTTAAGTGGAGAACACTGAAATGTTTTAAGCCCAACAAGTCTTACATGAACAGTTCCAATACTTAATATGTAAGCCTCCTGTAATTGGGACTGCAGTTACCTTAACACATTTATGTAAAGTGCAGTTACCTGATCTTTTTTTATGTAGGAAATGTTTTTTAATAAAGTAACCTTTTATTGTTGCCACACTGATGTGTACATGGTTTTGAGTTGCCCTGCAGTCTTTATCTGCCATGTGTGTACAGTGTATTCTTTAATTAAAAGAATAACATATCTTTGCGTCTGTCTCTTTGGGAAGGAAATGGGGCAAAGTATGTCACTGAATTCAAATAGAATTTGAGCCAACAGTGAGAAAGGTAGTATTTAAAATTCATCCATGGTGCAAAAACCTTACCGATTTCTTTTTATGGAATTTGTAGGAGGCTGGTAAGTCATATCTAAGCTCTGTTAAACAAGAGAAATGAAACCACATTAAAATACCAGCATCTTAATTTTTTTTAGACATTTATAAACACAATAGGTATCTTTCCCTTACCTGCTATGATTTCCATCTTAACATTCCAGTCTTTTGCTTTCTTAAGTATGTGCTTTAAAGAAAAACAAGTAATTTTTATTCTTTGCATTCACATACATGATTAATTAGCTTTTGAAAAAGGTGTAAACTAACTTACTTCACGTGTTGATGTTTTGTGAAGAGAATAGACTGCTGTTCTTGCCATGTGGAATGCAGTCTTGAGAAATTGCATATCCATCCCTATTAAAAGCATAAAGTGAATATTGGTAATATTTGAGAACTCTTAAGTGTTACACACAGTTTAATGGGTTAGCAGATTTAATGCAAAAAGGATGTACTGTTTTGCTCAAAGAAAGTGTTCCTCAAATTTGAGAAATTACAACATACTGAAAATTTTCCACAATATAAGACAGTTGCAATGTTTTCTGACCGACATCAAAGACCTCCAATGATCATTTTGACAATATTCAAAGATGCAACGAGCTAACAAAACAGCTTTTGTAATCACATGGGGACAAGTCAAAATTGTGGACAACAGATGTTCAGTTTATCAGTAAATGGGGTTTACTCTCTGAAACATTAAGCATAGAAAAGAATATTCATGTTTTAACAATCAATTTTTGCTTACCTTTATTGTGTTTGGTTCCAAATGGGGGATTCATGATAACTGTGTCAAATCTCTTGGAGACACTATCTGACTCCAAAGAACACACGTCGCACTGAACCACATCGATATTTTTCAGCTCAAATTCATCCATGTTTCTTTTACATATTTCTAATGCATCTTCATCAATGTCAAAACCAACACAAAACCTGGAAATCATAATAGGTAGGAGTGCTACATTAAAATCTAGGACATGTAGACATGAAAGCAGTATTTGAACAGACCATTTACTCCTCATCTGTGGTCTCTGTTGTCTATTCAGTAAGGATTTCTTAATCCAAACACTTTATATGCTTACTTGACTGCCTGGAACAAGCTTCATTAATGTTAGAGAAACTTTATTTAAAACACATTTCATCAGGACGCTCACCCTGCCTCTAGCATTGCAGCTCCAACACTGAGGACGCCACATCCACACCCCAGATCTGCTACCAATTTATTTTCAATGTCATCAAAGGAGTTGTGGATAGTATACAGCATGCAGGCTTTGAAAAAGACAAGAAATCAAATTAGAATCACAGACACATACATCCCATATATAATGTACTATATGTAACCCATTCTAGTCCTTCTGCCAGCCATGCATTATGAGCAACTGTTGGTAAGCTCTTAAAATACACCAAACTCTTAGAACACACCAAAGGTTATTTTAAGATCTCAGAAAATCCATCCCCCTTAGAATAGGAACAGATTCTAAAAAGGTCTGCTTTAAAGTGAAGTAAGTAGTGAGGTCTTTATTTATCCTCTCAAATCTAAAACTGTTACCTGCAATGTGGGGTCTGGTGGGATATTGTTCCAGGAGCAACTTGGGTTCTTCAAAAACATCAACCTGCTGTAAACAACTTTCCAGTTCTTTCAGCTTCATTTTTTTCAAATGCTTTTCCTTCAAATTAACGGGATTTGAGTATGACCAGTGTCCCTGTAATGGACAGAACGCAATTGAACAGATGTAAAGGTGTAGCTGTGCAATTTCATATACACACACAGGGGGAATTATAAAGAGACACAAAATAATCTAGCCAGCTCCGAAAGACAAATCACGCAGGAGAAAGGTCCCAAGGACTGCTTTCCCTAATTTCTCTTTTAAAGGTGCAATCCCAGATTTCCTACATTATATCATATCCTGGCACAAAACATCTGCTGGGAAAACTAAAATAATCATTTAGCACTGCAATTCCGATGCAAACGAACGCTTCAGTCATGTGTTGGTTACTTTTTAAAGCTTTCATTCCCATTTACTGTAACGGCGATGTACGAAAAAAAAAACATTTGTGATACATTTTTAAAACCTATATTGGAAAACGAGGTTATACATACCTAAAATTGGTGTTATTGCTTCTTAATTTATTTCTTTTTGCTGTCAATGTCCGTAATCACTCCGAGTAAATATCCAATGCATCTCACAAACGTCTATAAAAAAGTAAGTAAAAGATGCAAAATACACATGCTTTGGATTTTAAAACAATAGCGGAAATAACGTAAAAAGGCGAGGCAACAAACAAAACAGTCCGGGAAGAAAAGGGAGCATGAAATTGCGTTCCTACTACCGACAGTACTCCCAGCTGATTTGCTGTTCGTTATTTTATTTTTGATAGTGAATTTAATCATCCTCTGGAAGTCATCGTTCACTAGAAAGAAAGATGAATAAGACGTATTTCATTTTCGGCATTTATAAAACAATTTATAAAATAAAATGATAGCAAGTGACAGAAAACATTCATGAAGCTATATATTAAATGTGCAAATCAAAAATCCGAATTGGCAGTATTTTCTGAATAATGTTAAGTATATTAGTATAAAAAGTCTCAACGGTCCCGTTGGGTTTTACACAACACACCTTATCTAAACGCTGACACATCCCTATCTTCATGCAGATGTGAACAATTCTAATAATAATAACAATAATCATTTACATAAATTACTTATACAGCGCTTTTTCTGGAAACTCCACGCAAAGCGCTTTAAAGGTGACGAGGACTCCCCTCCACCTCCAATGTGTAGCCCCCACCTGAATGATACAGCCACAGTGCGCCAAAACATCAGCTGTCACCACACATCAGCTGTCAGTGAGGAGAGCAGAGTGATGAAGCCAGTTCATAGATGGGGATTATTAGGAGGCCATGATTGGTAAAGGCCAGGAGGGAAAGCATCCATCAGAAATTCTCGATATGTATTTTAATTAATAGCACGGCACCAGCCGTGTTCTTCTCTTTGTTACAGAGAGTGAATGCAGCTGCTTTTAGTACTGTCAGATGTACGAATGTGCCATTTTTATGATAGAGTTTATGGAATTTATAAAGCTACAGTGTCTGGCGCTTCACAAACACCAGTCGCCTAGAAAACCTAAAGAACGTCAACCTATTGCAACTGCTTCAAAACATAAGAAAAAATAGCTCTGACGTGTCCTTTAACGTCCCCGTGGTAGTATCGCACTTAGATATGTTCTTTTTAGTGCAAATAAAAAAAGAAATAAACCAGATGAAATGATGAGATCCTTATATCGTGATGATATTACAGTACGTGGTGATACGGGTCAAACTACACAGCTATATCTAATATGCCACATCCTCCCTGGTTAATGACTTTTTATTGTATTTAAACATTTCTCTGGTCATGATTTAGTTCACGTGATTTAGAGACGCACGTCGATTCAGTAAACAAACACAGAATGGAAGATTCGGGATCCGCCTTCATGAAGCCCCAGCTACGAAGTTTTGTGACGATAAAATGTCAAGGGAGGAGCTTCTATTTCGCCTGGTCTTATGAGGAGGCTTTTGTGACCACTCTAAAAAAAGCATCATACTATATACGAAATTGCTAGGTCATACTGGATAATGTAGTGCATTGTAAGAAATACATTAGAGCTGTCGCTGTATTCTTTCCTCGAAGATGCATTTTTAAACATTAATACAAGGCAAGACTAAAATAGCAGTAACACAGTGCCAGGGATCACGTTACAACGGACTATAGGAATAATACATGCAAAAAGTGGGACGTTTCTCATAATTTCCCGTTTCAGATTTTGAACGAAAATGAATGTTGATATTAATAATAATCATATTATTATTAATATTGTTCATATTCTATGGATGGATGGAAATTCAAGTTACTGCTTAATATAGTTAGAAGGTAATTTGTGATTTTTAAAAGCAATTGCTTTAAAGAAAAGTGGCGCTAGCACGGTGTACACCTGTGCATGCGTGCACGTTACCTAGAACTATATTTATCATAGTGAAAGAATTAAACCAGATCGATATTATGACACTTCGCCACGACGACAGCCAGGTCTAAGCGCACACAGCACGCATAGTCGAGAGCACTGACCTAACCTCGCTGCCAGGAGACATCGCGAGAAACCCCGAGACCACGGCTACAAGACAACAAAAATAAATCCCTTCTAACAAGCCGGAGTTCATGATGGCGGCGTCGCTGCTGCGCCGGGACAAGAAATCCACAGCCGCCCATCTCAAAGCTGAGCTCAACCGGATTGACAACAGCCCGGGTGTCCGCCAGCTTCAAGAGCTCTTGGACAGTGTCCTAAACCCGGAAAGGCTGGTGGGAGACGCCGAGGCCCTCGAATGGTGCAAATGCCTGCTGGCAGGAGGGGAAGGATTCGAGGAGTTCTGCAAAACCGTCCGGTCCTATGACAACGCCACTCTGTGTGGCTTGGTGTGGACGGCCAATTTCGTGGCGTACCGTTGTCGGACCTGTGGCATTTCCCCTTGCATGTCACTCTGTGCCGAGTGTTTCAACAACGGTGATCACACTGGGCACGATTTCAATATGTTCCGGAGCCAGGCCGGCGGGGCCTGCGACTGTGGGGACAGTAATGTCATGCGTGAAAGTGGGTAAGTTCTGTAGTTCTGCACCCGGACGGGTGAGGGCCCGTACTGAACACAGCTGAGCGGTTTGACAGTTTCACGTACAGCGGCGCTTACACAACGCTCTTGAGTACCGATGTACAGTACGTGCTGTCCAACTCTCCGAGATCAATGCCAGGGTTCCTTTAACAGTGTGGGAGGCTGGTTTATTTTTATCCGGAGAAAACTATGCAAGTTAATTACATTAAAGGTCTTTGTACTCCTTTGACTTCTGAATCCCTTTAATGTCTGCTCATTCTCGAGGCAAAGCAGAATACGCCGTGTATAGAGAGTATTTTCTCATCTCTGGGACTGTATGTTACAGTAGTAGTTCCCGATCATTGTCCTGGGGGGTATTTCGTTTTCTGTTTTTTTTTTTAACGCACCGACATTTATTAATTATAGGGTGACAGGTTTCGGTTCTCACGGGCGTATTTTTAAATGTGATTTCCCCTACTAAATACGGATTTTTAATCTTCGTAAGTATCGACCCTGTTTCAAATTCTGAGGTAGACAACTACCATCTTTAAGGTGTGAATTGAAACCACTCCGCAAAGAAAGAACTTCGTGGGAGTGTTCGGTAAATTGTTGTTACCACCTAGACCTGTTCGTCATCAATTCATCCTGTTAAGAGCCATTTCCTCAGCAATAAGGGTAAGGCTTACCCTTACTGTTGAGTTCACAGTGCTGAAATTGCCAGAAACACTACCTTTGAATGAGGGATATTTGAAACAAGAAGTTAGCCAAACCTCGGAGCTCAGCTGTAGCCACCAGAGACAGGTATCCTGCAGGACCAGGGGATCAGTATTTGGCAGGAATATGTTCATGAGCAATGCCAACACCTAGTTTTTTTCTTTTGAACAGATATTCACAGCATACTTATGCATGATTAGATAAGAAGCATTTAATTTACGCTGTTAAATTGATGGCATCTGATGAAATACATTTTACTTCCAAACAGTACATTACTACAAAAGATGCAGGTGTGATGGAATAAGACTACATCTAACGAGATTCTTTACTGTGATGTTACACTGGTTATGGACCACATCAGTGCTGATTTTTAACATTATAGTTACCATTGCAGAATAAAAATGCAACCATTTTTCATGGTAGTTGTGTTGCCTTGCTTTTAATTAAAATTTTACGCAATGAGATTTGTTTTGGGGAAAATATTTAAAAACATGCAAAACTGACTTCAGTTTTTCTAAAAGGAACCAAGACTGAACAAGTCCTGAGCCTGCTCCTCAGTACTTCATAGGAGATAACGCAGGTAGACCTGTTTACAGAGCGCAGCTTAAATCTGTTCAGTATTTTTGTAAAATTCCCAAGGTATTTGGGCACAAATGGAAACAAAGGGGAAAATCATTTAAATTCGAGAATAGGTGAGTACGTCTGTTCACAAAGACTTTGGAGTTTACAAAAAGCTGTTCTGCCATGATGTTGACACCAGTACCAGTTCTTCTTTCAAGAAGTGATTTAATGACTACTACTAAACAAACACTACTAAATAACCTGTTTGTTCTTTTTTACTTTTTCATATCTGATTAGGAAACATGTTAGATAAAGGCATATCCACCTAACACTTTAGAGCAGGAGTTAATATATCTTATTCTGTGACCTCTGCTTTTTGCTCTGGACAAGTTCTTAATTACAGGCTAATTATTACAGTTTTCTGTTTGGGGGAATATCTGTTGTTAGCTCTTATAGAGCAAAGGGGATGTGTAATTATCAACCTTAAACGAAGTTGTGAGTTGTGTTGCTTAAAATGTGCCCAGCCTCTGGTTTAGTTCCTGGGGTGCTATCTGTGTGGCGTTTGTATGTTCTCACTGTCTTTGTATGGGTTTTTCCCTGGGCACTTCAGTTTCCTCTCAAAGTCCAAAAGACGTACTTGATGGGCAATTCTGAAATTGGCCTTGTTGTGAGTGCGGGTGTATGTGTATTACCCGCGATGGACTGCTGCCCTGTTCAGGGCCTACCCTGCCTTGTGCCGCTCCCCAGCGATCCAAAATTGGATAAAACGTTTAGAAGATAGATGGGTGGATTTTGAGCTCAGCTGGAATGAAAACCAGCAGCCAGCATTTCTCCAAAACCAGGGTGGGATAATAGCTTTAGGGAATTTCACATTTTAAAGTGAAGCAAATTCATGATTTACCAATTTACTCTTGGCAGTGCAGAACATATGATAGGTTCTCCAAACATTCTGGTATTAGTGTGTTGATGGTTGGTAAGTTCAATTTTGTTTGGCAGTTAAACTTTGTTGACAGCTTTCAGTGTTGCAGTGAATTGAGCAAGGTGTATATTATGTGGCCATTTCAGCAGATGTATCAGAATCAATTTCATTTTGGTTATTTAAACATCTGGACATTCATTGTCATGGTTCCTAGTTAGAATGGGTGCCCTGGGCTTTCAGTGAAACAGCGACTCCTGTAATTTGCCTGGCACCTGCAGGACTGCTGTGTTGAGAGTGAGTGGAGCAGGAGTGGAACTGGAGCAGGGTGTGGTAGAGGATCTAAATGCAGTCTTTTCAAAATATCATTTGTCACCCCAATTCTGACTGCCTTGTGTCAGTCCTCCATTTTGATTTCATTGAATAGCTAACTTCAGATGGTAATGTAGTATTTCAGTATTCCATGTACTGTGAGGTGGGCGAATCTTATTATTTAGGATCTAAAAGTGGTTGAAACAGGCTGGAAATCTCTGACACAACATACTCTGCCTTTTAGACCTTGCCCATCAGAGTTTTACTCTCTTTGGACAAAATATCTGAGCTGTGAAATAGAGATTGTGTTGATTGTCACAGTGTCCATCTGGTGGAACCTGTAGCTTACACCCCTACCAGTAATATTTAATTAACAGGAATCTAAAACCAGTGAGTTGTTGGAGCATGTGTGTTACAAAACAAGAATTGTAATGAGAAGTGTAATGCGATTGAATATATGATACCCGGTATTGACTCTTCAGTCTAGGTATAAATGTCAGTACTAGTCCTCAGTTTTAGGAAACAAAAAGAAAGCAAATCAACATTGTTTCAATTTCTAGAAAATGAAGATTCACATTACAGTAGAAATTGTGTAAATTAGAGAGCAGACACCCCTGTCATTTGCTTTACATGTATGTCTGTACCAGTATTAAACTGCATGCTTTAATAATAGTGTATATGAATTGCTGCTGTCTCTTGTCAAGAAAACTAGTACTGGGAAGCAAGGTGCTATGCAAATTTCATTTTCCTCCTGCTCATTCCACTTGGTGTACATTATGAATTTAGCAACATGAGTGGGGTTATTCAATTGTGAAGAGGAGGAATGCAATTTGAATGTTTTATTCCATTCAGGTGTGTCCTGGAATTATCTTGATTGAAAAAAAAAAATTGTAAATGAGCGCAAAGGAAGCCTTTTGTGTAATATATATTTGTTTTCATGGGCGATAAATGGTATATTTTAGTATTGAAAGGTGTCATCTGTTGATTTGAAATTATTAAATTAACATTGTCTACTTTGTTTAGATTTTGCAGCCGACACCGATCAAAAACGGGGACAAATGTTCCTTCAGTCCCCAGAGATTTGCTTTTAATGTCGGAGATGGTTCTCCCTCGCTTCATCATCTGTATCATCCAGTACTTAAGGGATGGCTACAGCGACCCAGGTGAGGAGCCCTTTAACACCTGTCCTTGAAGCTATAGAAATTGTTGACTTTTTTATTTTTTTATTGAATTTTAATACCGAGCAAAAGAAATAATCAGGTTTTCTTCTGCTTTTCAAAAAATGTAAAAGTTTTTTGAACAGAATGTGTTCTTCAGAAAACAAAATCTAGAGTGCCAGTGCACAAAAAGTATTTTATCTTGCACAGTTACACAAATAAAAAAAATGTTCATTTCAACCCATCAAAATTCAACCTTCATGAAGTGGTTGCATGAAATGATGTGTGTACCTGTACTTTTCCAATAAAAAAAATATATACAGCAGGAAATGTATTCACGACCACCAGCTCACCAATGCTTAATGTGTTAGCCTTCGAAGCATTCCTGTAAGTCAGTTAAATCTTCATTCACTGATATCCTAAAATATGATTAAGGTCACAGGGAGCGGAATACTATACTAAACCCTGAATCTAAGTAATTCTTACCTGTAATTTCTAGAATAAAAATAATTACTTTGCTCTTATCTGAAAATGACAGCTGCACTGCAGAAGAGTAGTGAGACTATGGGACTGTGTAGAAGTAGCTCAGTGGTGGCTGTGTGTGAACACAAATTGACACCCACTGGACTTAGTAGTATGACAGGCATAGTAGGCGTGACATGGACAAATAAATTCTCCTGCAGTGTCCATCAATTCGTATTCCTGCAATTGATTGTGAATTGAAATTGGTTTACATTGAATTGGCTTGTGAGCTGATTGTACACATGGGTACAAATGATGCAAAAGACTCATTCGTATTCTTCCCTTTTTTGCCTGGAAGAAGTGTAAAAACAAATGTTCGAAAGAGGTTGAAGAGAACAAGTACTTTGTGACTGTGAGTGTCTTGTAGAAACTGCAGTTTATGGCACTGTACTGCCTTTGTGTAGGCCGCTACCCACTGGAATGGGTAATAGAAAAGATAAACTGTAGTATCATGTTTAGTACCATCCCTGGTACAAGTTTCTTCTCTTTATGTGGCCGCTGGAATGTGAATTGTTCTGTGATTCTAGATCCGTCCTCGGAGAGGGATCTGCACAAGGTGCTGCAGCAGCTGGAGCCTCAGATCTCCTTTTTGGAAGACTTAACTAAAATGGGTGGTGCCATGCGAACTGTTCTTACAAAAATCTTAACAAACCAGCAGACCTTCAAAGACTTAAGCATGGGTACAGTTCCACTTTTCTCACTTAAATGTACTCTAAAATTAAAGAATTTCCTGCCTGTTACCTCCTGTTGCCAGTAAACAACTACAGTACAAATCCGGGAAGTTGATGGGGGGACGGACGCTCATGTACTAAGCAACTCATAAAAACGTTGCAAATGTTTTGATTAACATTTTTAGAAAATAACATGTGGAAACTTCACGTTTAAGAGTCAAAGTAGTAGATAAAGGAAGAGTGTAGCTATGATTTTTACCGTCTGTCAATGTGTTGGATGCAGTGCATTGATCTGGACTTTGCTGCAGGTACTTTCCTGACTCCGTGTGTGAGTCTGTCCTTTCACAAAGTAAATCTTCTCTCGAGTGTGTGCATGTCTTTAACTCTGTTATCAGTTCGCCAAATATGCAACTAGATGCCACAAAACAGTGGTTTCCACTGTTTCTAAGGGATGTTTGGAACTTCTTTAATAATATTTTGGCTTTTTTATATGCTTTCAGAAAGTGTTGCAGGTGGCCAGTTCAGTTTCCTAATTACAAAGGCACTTTAGTGTCATTTTAATATATATTTTCCCCTCCATTTCTCCAAGGACAAGAAGAAAATGTATATGCGAAGAAAAACTATGACAAGTATCTCTCGGCTCTAAAAAGTTCCGGATTGGTATCCTCGGAAGAAAAGACAGGATCTGGGGGATTCGATCCCACAGCCGGAGCCGTAGCCCTCAGTATTTTAGGTGGGTCAGACACCTCAGTCGTCATGTTGTTACTTCACAGGCCTGAATGTAACCCAGATATTTGTTATGGGTGCAAATCCAAGCCGGTTGATATGATCATGTGTGTTTTGGACATTTGCTTATTATGGAGAACCTCGGTTAGTATTACCTGTGCTGTAAAAACACAGATTGTGCTTTTTTTAACCAAGTGTTATTATGTTTTGGCATTTTGCAGTATATAATTTTAAAACCCACTTTCTAAAGACTGTAAATCAATACAGATATTCAGTCTTGTCCTGATAGTACGATATTATGACAGAGTAGTATCGGAGGACAAAACTTAGAATTTGGATTTAGAGTATAATTTACTGTTTGAGAACACAATTGTCAATTTTAAAAAGCAGAGAACTATTTTTGTATGGTTTTAATATCTCAAGACCTGTGCTTCTTGTTGTATTGAAACATCTTTAATCCTCCCTTTTCTTTTTCTAGGTGCCACAGCAGCTGCCAGCCCTGAAGAACCTGTTAAAGAGGTACAGTTGGAACTCGTCAGCACAGATGTTATGCCAGACCTGAGTTCTGTCCATTTGGAACAGCTTTTAGAAGTTCATCTTTCCCAAGAAAAGTTGTGTTTTCCATTGGTTTCAACAAACCTCTCTGCTTCTTTTTTTAAAGGAGGATCAGGATGGGGGCCAAGGTGTTGGCAAAAGAAAGAGAGTGAAGCTGAGTAGCAGTACCAAAGGTATATTTAAGAGTCTGAGGCTCATCTTTTTGTTGAGGCTGCACATCTTGTTTACCCTCTGCTCCATAATTACACTTGACTACTCATTTTTTTTGTTGTATTTTAGATCCGTCCATTATGGATGTTCTCAAACACAAATGCTTTTTAGAGGAGTTGTTGTTTTGGACAATAAAATATGAGTTCCCACAGAAGATGGTAACGTTCCTGTTGAACATGTTGCCTGATCAAGACTATAAGGTATGGTTAAGTGTGTGTGAATTGTTCTTCTGTAAGCACTTAAAAGCAAGTTTAACTCTTTTGCATAGAATTAATGTGCTTGCATAGTTTAAGAACCATCTGCAAACATTTGATTTGAATGTGTTTCGTACATTTGTGGACAGTGAAAGTGATCTGAATTTTAAGTTTTGATTTGTAGCACAGATGCCAAGCTGTACTGGATTGATATTTAATCAGGCAAATATGGAGGAACATAAGAATTTCAATTTCAATGATCGTGTTTTTGCTTGATCATCTTAACCAGAGATGTTCAAATTTTAGTGTTTGAAGCCCAATGGATCGTTGCCAATGAAGTTCTGGTAGTGATTTACGTTTGGACTTATTTTTAAATAGGGATCGGTTATTACTGCGGCTTGGGCTAATTTTTTAAACTCATAGATGTTTTAATTGAAAGTGCTGATGTTTTATCGAGCCTTTTCTGTGTTTTTTCTTTATATAGATTTCATTTACTAAAACGTTTGTTCAGCATTATGCATTCATTATGAAAACTTTAATGAAAAGCCATGAATCGGATACCATGTCCAACAGAATTGTACATATTAGTGTGCAGTTGTTCAGCAATGAAGAATTAGCACGTCATGTAACAGAGGAATGCCAACTTCTGGACATAATGGTCACAGTCCTCCTATACATGATGGAAAGTTGCCTTATAAAAAGCGAACTTCAAGGTAAGTTGCCCATAGGCTGTTTTTGTTCGATATTATTGTCCTTTCCAGACATTCTTTTTGCGTTTATCATTTTTAAATTTATGACAAAAGTAAAAATTGTCAGTGTCATTATGCAAGATGATTGTTTTATTTTAATTGTTTGGGTATACCAAAGATGCATACTGCATTTACATTTAATATATAACAGCAAAAAAAAACTTACTGGATTTAAAAGAGTTTAAGAGCTCTCAGTTTGGTACTCTGCCTTCATGAAAGGAGACTTTGAATGTTATATAATATTTTGTTTTAGTATCTTGCAAATTTCGGGCAGAGAGAAAGATTATTCAGATAATTTTATGAATAGGACAGAACACCTACAGCATTGTGAAAGTTTTTTATGATGAATATTTTTAAAGATTGTGCCCGTAATTATATATGACAATTTTTTTTTCATTTGGAGTTTAGTAATATTGACTTTTGTAGTGTCCTCAGGATTAGTTGCCTGTAAGGATATATGTGAAAGTATTTTTTTCCGGTAACTTCATTTGTAAAACCCAAGTGAAAAGTGTTTTTATGCGTGTTTGAGATGCATTTTTAACAATTTAATAATATAATAAAAGCTACTAAAATTGAGCATTTATTAAACTTCGAAAATACCAAGTGCATTTCAAATGGTGCTAAACATAACAATATGTGAAAATTTCACATTTAGAAAAATTGCTACACTGTGATGGAAATTGCAGAGAATATTTTTTAAAGAAATGATGCACCATACATAGTTTCAAAGAATGCAATTCCAGTACAAAAACACCACTGGGGGAACAAAACTCCCCCCAGAAAAGACCAGTCAAAAGTTACAAAAACGTTACAGGATAGATGAAGGCCAAGGAAGCATTTGGTAACCAGACTGAATGTCAGGATCTCTTTTCAGTTGAAGAATTGTTACTACAGTAAGTGATCAATGTTAACATCTCAGAATAAGTTAAATCAAGTGTGCAAGAAGAAATAAAAATGGCCTTTGGAACAGTGAAATCAAATGATATGGTCTGGTCAGTCTGAATGTTTGGACCTGGGTGCTACCTGTTGCTCCAAAGGTGAGACGGTGAATGTGAAGCTTGCAGTTCCATTTAGAGGTGTTCCAAATTGAAAATGGAAAGACTTTCATTTTTCAGCCTGACAGTGCTATCTTCATCTAATGCCGATAGTTATAGAGTATAGGTACCTTGCAGTCAGCCGCGATTAAAGGTCATTGCAATACCTGTCAATGACCCAGGCCTTTTCATAACACTGCGCATTGTCTTAGAATGCATTGTTTTGGAGATGAGATGTTTGTAAGTTATTTTTTTTTAAAGGTATTCTCAACATGAGTGTTTTGTGTGTTTCCAGATGAAGAAAATAGCCGTCACGTGGTGGTAAACTGTGGAGAAGCTCTGCTAAAGAACAACACCTACTGGCCTTTAGTTAGTGATTTTATTAATATTCTCTCACACCAAAGTGTAGCAAAGAGATTTTTGGAAGACCACTCTCTACTAATGCTGTGGATGAGCTTTGTTTCCTTTTTTCAAGGTTAGTTCTTCTTTAACCTATTATAAACGAACACACTGATTGACATTTTGACCACTGTACAATGTACAATAAATGTTGTGCCATTTTATTTAGGTTAATTTAGCTTTTTTTGTATGCCTGGAAGCACATTTATGTGCACTGTGTGTTATTCTTGCATTGTAAAGCTTGTGTTTTGTGAGAAGTTAAATTTAGGACATTTTTTATAAGTCATAACTCAGTTCTGTGAGATGTTGGTACTGGGCCCAAGGGAAAATTTGCCATGAGAATGTTTTGTCAAGGGCTCCTTGTTTATGACCTATTTTTTTGCCTTTCAGCCATTGCATTTACCCATACTAGACTGCCAGTTAGTGTGGACTAACATTTAAACATTTTTTAGGCTAAAATCCCATGTTAGGCCAGGCTGTGAACCAAGAAAAAATTCAGGAAAAACAATTAAAACTTTGTGTCCAGCCATTACTGAGTATGTTCATCATTTTACTGCATGCCCAACTTCCATTAACATGGCTGATCTATAAATCTGGCTCATGAACAGTGCTGCATACCAAAATGTTCTTAAAATGCATTAATATCTCGTAAGGAAATGACGCCATGCAAAACAATACATGGATTTGAATTAATGTGTTTTTACAAGCTTGCTTCCTTTCAAAAACAAAAATGTCCAGGTTGTTTTTTAAGCTAATTTCTATTTGTTTCTAGCCAAATTTAGGATTAGGTCCTTGGTGCTTTCAGGCCATGAAACCAGAATGTTTGTGTCAGCTAAATTGACAAAAGTTTAGATTTACTGTCAGCTTTAAATACCTGTTTTTTCATAATTTAAAGGAAATATTAGGTGTCTCAGGTCATCAAAATAAATAAGTGCTATTAAATAATGAAAAAGGCTTGCATTTTTGTCCTTGTGTACACATCTTTTGAGCATAGTGCTTTGTGGTCTAAATTCTATTGCTATGTGTGACACTTGTGCTGCTGTTCACTCTTCTTTGCTCATTGTAGGTATGAATTTGAACAAGCGAGAATTGAATGAACATGTGGAGTTTGAATCTCAAACTTACTATGCAGCATTTGCAGCAGAATTAGAAGCTTGTGCCCAGCCCATGTGGGGCCTTTTGACACACTGTAAAGTTAAGGTAAGGACACTGTTGTTGAGTAGATGCACACCTCTATATTAACACTCCAAAGCACAACAGGTTTTTGTAATACTCCGTTCTGAGTAAAAAAATATTGTTTTCTTCATGCTCAAATATTGTGCCTTTTAAATAGTGTACAAGTGACTATGCATTCTGATTTTTATCTTTGAGTTAATACACTATTTTGCCAGAAGTATTTCTAGAAAATTACAGAATCTCAAGGACACTTTTTAATACTAATTGACATTGTTGACTTTTTTGCACATGAAAAGTCACGAAGCTTCACAATCAGCCATTCAGTATTTGTGGTGGCTTTCCAAGATTGGAGAAGCACTTACAGTAATGAAGTCATGGTTTTGCGCCTGTGGTAACATCTGCAGGCTCGGGAAACAATTTAATTTTCTCAGTTTATTTTGCAAACGCTTTTTATGGTTGGGTGTTTCATGTTATGGAATATGTGACGTAATATAATATCAGTTTCTTTTGTCGCTGTAAGTCTGACTTGAGGTTACTTGTTTTTGTATATAGACATCTACCATGAATATAATGGTTCATCCAATATTTCAAATCCTATGTTTTTTATTTTATCCTTTAGGAAACGCAGGAATATACAAAAACAGTTGTTCGGTACTGTTTGGAGACTCTGCAGATGTGGTTTGACGCGATTAGCTTTGTTGACGAGGTAATGTTTTCAGTGCTGTGCATTTGCCATATTCAATTTTAATATTTATTGACACTTGAGTTTTCATTTGTAAACCAGTGAAGGTGGTAAAGTATGGTTATGCTTTCTTTTCTAAGCTTATAAATTGTCTTTTCAGCCTGCTCCCAATCAAGTAACATTTCACCTGCCCTTACATCGCTATTATGCCATGTTTCTGAGCAAGGTGAGTTTTCCACATACTGTACGTTAGTAATAAAAAGCTGTAAAACTAATGTCAGATGTACTTTTTGAATACCAATGATGATGATAAAGATCAATGTAAATTCCTGAACCATAGAGGAAATTACTGAAATACAAAACCATTAAGTTTAAGTCACTGGTTTTAAAATAGTAATGCTCAAATAAAACATGAGTTTACTTTCAGGATGGGATTTTTCTTAATTGTTGACAATGTGAGTATAGGGAGGCCAGGTTCTGTATATAACACTCTGTGAATTATGTGTATGATGTCTGGGTAGGAGATCTGTTAATGAACTTAATGAATCAAAATAATAAACAGACTAATATAACCCTTTCATCTTTGAAATAAATGCACAAGCTTTCTTTTCAAATCTTAATGCACCACCTTCATTTTTTTCCAGGCTGTGAAATGCCAAGGGTTGGACTTGGACTCACTTTTACCAGATCAGGAAATGCTTATGAAAATAATGGTTCATCCGCTTCAGATTCAGGTACTATATCGTATATAAAAAGTGTACAGTCTCAGACAAGTGGTAAAATAATCAATGTTTTCCCAGTTGGTCAACTGGCTTGACCCTCTTCCTCAGTGTGCTTCCCATCCTTTCTGGAAAAGGACCTGAGAATTTACTTCCATATTTTATTGGTTATATTGGTTATTCTCACTTTGAAATGATCAGCTGTTTGTATTTCTTAAACCTGAAAGTGCTTTCTGGAGTGTTGGAATGATGGTTATCTCTTTGTATCTTCCAGGCTAGCCTGTCAGAAATCCACAGTAACATGTGGGTCAGGAATGGCTTGCAAATTAAAGGTCAGGCCATGACATATGTACAGTCGCATTTTTGTAACTCCATGATAGATCCTGACATCTATCTCCTTCAGGTAATGTAAGGTTATTAATTTAGGTAAAGCTCAGTTAAAGAGACAGACAGACACTGAGGTTTGACTTCTTTTCTGTCTTTCTCACACAGGTCTGTGCATCAAGGTTAGACCCTGATTACTTCATCTCATCTGTTTTTGAAAGGTACATATATATATCGTCATTTCTGTTTGTAGCATTGGACTGTTGGCATCTTTTAGTGGAACAGTGCTTAACAAAACTCCAGTCTTTATTGGGTTTTCCTCATGAATCTGTTAAGCACTATGATATGGGAGAATTTTGTGTTTTGTATGATGTTCAAATAGTGGATTTCAAATTTTAAAGTGGTGTGACAAATATCATAGTTTTTTTTCTTCAAAAATCATTAGCTGGGAACTTTGTGTCTTAAAAATCTAGTTACTGCTGCATTCTTATTGCATACTTTTATCTGACTATTTTAAATAAGTTTCACAAAAGCTTTGTCGGATTTCGTGAATCATTATTTTTGTAACCTATGATTGTCTCCGTTTAAGATCATTTTGATGGGCAGGAGGGTGGTAGTATAATGTATTGCAATATTTAGTAAAAGTGTTTTGCTCATAGCAGAGATGTCTTTTGCAGATTTAAAGTTGTGGACATGCTGACAATGGCCTCACAGCACCAAAATTCAGTGCTGGATTCTGAACAAGAGAGACCGATGCTGGAGGGAGCCTTAACATTTCTTGTTATATTGTTGAGCCTTCGCATTCATTTAGGTGAGTACAAGACACTTCAGTTTCCACACACATAATTTCCTTTTTCTGTCCTGCAGTCATTACATTAATGTTTCTTTAAATCTCTCTTTATATGATTCAGTGTGTTGCAGACGCATTTTTGTGGTATTCTTCAGACCCTTATAAGAGGTGTACAGATTTCAAAACCAGTGTCTCACTTTGAAAACTGTGGTTATGTTGTGGTGCAAATTAATGTAAATATGAATTGATGCAAATTAAGATAACCTGCTGTTTTGAAACACCTTTATGAAAACAAATATTGATTATTGGCAATAATGGGGGAAAAAAAGCAAACATTGATTTATTAACTTGCCACAATTCTCTTCATTAATGATGAAATTTGGCTATAGTGAACCTGCTCTGTGGATCCCAGCGCTGTAAAAACAAAGTTATGAGACAATTGGGCACTTCAGAATGGTCTCCATGCTGTTTTTCTGACTTGCACTTGGTGTGCTGCAACACAACTGCTTGGTCCCTTTTGTCCCAGTCAGGCTGTCAGGTTCATCAAAGTTCACCCAGTGCTGTATGTAAGAATCTGAAGGGAGTTTGTGAAATTGATGTTGTTGACAATAGACCGGGTCGAGGAAGAAAAGCCAGTTTCTCCAAAAACAATTCAGGGGCCCTACAGTAAACTCTAGCACGATCGGCCTTCATCCAGTAGAAGTCTTGCGAAAAACTCCAAGAGTTTTTTCTTGATCTGCGATATGCAATATGTACTTCTGTACAAAATGGTCTCAACGGGTATGAAGCTGTTGGGAAACCTTTATTTAGGACTGGAAATGAAACAAAAACAGGATAAAGTTTGTTTTTTAAACAACTATTTGCTTTTTAGGTAGACTTTTTCATTATTTTCCGCAGTGCTTTCTAAAGCCAGATATTTTTTGGGAAAGCTTGTGGTTTAGGCCCTTGATAATGCTGATCTCATTTCCAGCCATTGAGGAGAACGGATCAATGTGCGTTTGAAAGCATACAAACACAATAACTTTTATGGAGGGGTTTAGTATTTTGATTAGGAACCATTGGTTCTGACTTGCAAATAAATGTCCCCCACACTGGCCTTCCAGAGAGAAATTGCTGAATAGGATTTCTTACCTTTGAAAGTATATCCAAATATCCCATTTTCTAACCACTATATCAACCGGAATGGCAATAGGTAACTGATAATTGGACTTTTACTTTGAAAAGCATGTGAGTTAATGCAGAGTATGTTTTTTTTATTCTGTCACAGGCATGGCCGATGATGAGATTCTCAGAGCAGAAATGGTATCCCAGCTGTGCATGAATGATCGGACCCACAGTTCCTTACTGGACCTCATATCCTTTCAATTCTATATTTTTTTTCGTGTTCCTTTACAATACTCCCCCCTGTTTTGTTCATCAGTGAGGTTTGCTTGTCCAGCTTTCACACTAGCTGAGGAGGAATCAGAACTTTTCTTCCAGAATGTGCTCTGTTGGAACCAGTGAGTGGTTATTAGCATGTAAAGCCAGACTGACACTGGTTGATCACTTCTCTCCCTCAAGCTTACATAGATGTATCTTTGACAACGTCTCAGTGGATATGTTTTTTCCAAACTCTGCAAATAGCTTGACTTGACTGCAAATAGTGATTTGATTTATCTTGTTTTTCATATAGATATCTATGGAAGCCCGTTTCCGCCAGGGAGGAAAAAAAAAACGTGCTATGCTATCTCAGAATTGCGACTTAGTATCTCAGAATTGCGACTTAGTATCTCAGAATTGCGACTTAGTATCTCAGAATTGCGACTTAGTATCTCAGAATTCTGACTTATTAAGTCAGAATTCTGACTTATTAAGTCAGAATTCTGACTTAGTAAGTCAGAATTCTGACTTAGTATCTCAGAATTCTGACTTAGTATCTCAGAGTTGCGACTTAGTATCTCAGAGTTGCGACTTAGTATCTCAGAGTTGCGACTTAGTATCTCAGAATTCCGACTTAGTATCTCAGAATTCCGACTTAGTAAGTCAGAATTCCGACTTAGTATCTCAGAATTCCGACTTAGCAACTCAGAATTCCGACTTAGTAAGTCAGAATTCCGACTTAGTATCTCAGAATTGCGACTTAGTATCTCAGAATTGCGACTTAGCAACTCAGAATTCCGACTTTATATCTCAGAATTGCGACTTAGCAACTCAGAATTCCAACTTTATATCTCACATTTGTGACTTC